TGACAGAACTATGACTTGCCCAGGGTCATCCAGCAGCTGCAAGTGGAGGAGTGGGGAATCAAACCCGGTTCTCCCAGGTTAGAGTCTGCGCACTTAACCACTACACCAAACTGGTTTGAAGGTAAAAACACCTTTCAAACCTTCATTGGGTATTCTCAACAATTTCATTACACAGTTTTCATGCTTCAAGAGCACCTTAAAAATGCAGAGGTGCTTTAAGGACAATAATTATTAAAGTTTGAGTGTGTTTTTAATGGCCTAAGTAGGTGGTGCAATTCTAGAAATGATTACAAACCCATACACTCTGTTTTGAATCCAAAATGCCCTGCAGTTCAGGCCAAAAAAGGGCAAACTACTGGCACTCTTCCTGCAGCTGTCTAACTAGAATACAGATGGTGGTGTTTTCCAGACAGAGATGGGTTTCCTTGCTGCTGCAGTTGCTGATACAGCGCAGCAACAACAGGGCTTCTACATGACAGATATCCCCTGTTTTTCCCTGCTCCCAGCAGTGACTATTCCCAGGTTCTTTTTTTTTTTAAGGCAATTGAATATCATTACAGCATTATAACAATACGTGAATCAGATACTGGCTTTCATTTTTCCCCCAAGTCTGGTGCAGAGATATAAGGCAAAAGGTATATATCTTTGCAACTAAAGGGGCTACAGACTTTTCTTTTTTCGATGAAAGCTGAAAGTTAGAGAACCTGATGGACACACCGTTATAATGATATTCAATTGCTGATTAAAAAAAACAAAAAGTCCACTGGTGGCGGGGGGAAGTGGCCACTATGGGCCCTGGTGCTAGGAATATACCTGCCATGCAGGTAGATCCTTGCCTGGAATATTGCCGGCTGGAAAAATAAGCTAGGGGATTCCAATTTTAGGGAATTCCTGAGTGGGTTTGACATACTTTTACTACAGGAAACTTGGATCCACGAGGAGTTTTTTTTAGAAGGTTTTAATGTGTGTATGGTACCTGCTTTTAAATCCGAGAGATTTGGAAGATATCAGGCAGGGCTTGCGATGGCATGGTCAAGCAAAGCTAATATTGAGGTTTCTCCCCTTCTGGATTGTAAACAGTTAGCCCAGGCCTTTCTTGTTAAATGTCCAGGGAGAACATTAGTTTTAATTAATGTATATATGCCACCTGTTGCGGGTAAAGCGGCGCTGGTACAGCAATGGGAAAGTCTCCATGAATTATTAGAAGCTCTAGAAAAGAAGGAACCATCCAAGGAAGTAGTCCTGGTTGGTGACTTTAATGCAAGAATAGGGCAGAATGGTCTGGTATTAGCGGACAAAATAGGCATTGATCCAGAGTTTCTATCGCCTGATTGTTTTTTTAATTCAAGACTCTCTAAAGATCAACACATTAATGATGCGGGAATTCAGCTGGCCCATCTTGCTCTGAGGTTTAATTTAATCATTTTAAATGGTCTACCTCCTTTTGATTCACCTGGCGAGTATACCTATGCCTCTGCACGAGGTTGCAGTGTGATAGATTACATGCTGTTATCTCCGACACTCCAGGACGAGGTGAGCAGTTTTTCAATTTTAGGACGTCCCGAGAGTGATCATTTCCCTTTGGCTTTGGTTCTCAACTTTATTTCCACCTCTAGGGAACAGGACCTCCAGGGTTTGAGGGCAGGGGAAGGGTGCAAAAGTTTACCCAGGTGTAGATGGTCGGATAGAGTGGCCCAAAAAATCAGTGGTGTTTTGACCCTACAGAGACTGAATGAGCTTATAGCTCAGTCTAAGGCTATGAATGGGACTCCAGACCTGATTCAGGCTTATGAAGGAGTCATCAAACAGCTTGTAGATGTGATGATATTAGGCCAGGACCAGGCAAAAAATGGAAAGAGGCAGCAGAAAGCCACTTGGTTTGATAGGGAGTGCCTTGAAGCGAAGGCCCATGTACGATCTTTGTATCAGATTTATAGGAGTTCTTGTTGTGAGTATTTCCCAACAGTATATTTTGAAGCCAAAGCATCCTTAAGTAAATTGTTCAGAGAGAAAAAAAAAGCCGCCCTCCAGAAAAACTGGGAGCCTCTTCTCCAAGCCACAATTAGCAATGATGCTAGGAAATTTTGGGCGGTGATTTCCGAGGCTCTAGGCAGGAACAGAACTACGAATTCCCCAATTACCGCCAAGGCCTGGTACGAACATTTCCTGAAGATCTTTTCGGTAGATGGAAGGAGTGAAATTGAGGATCTCGAAATCAGTCTAGGGGATTGTCCCGAGTGGCCGCCGGTGCAGGATGTGGAGGTTGCCACGCTAATTGCTCAAATCAAGGCTGGGAAGGCGCCGGGACCATGCAGGCAGGACAGCAGTATCTAAAGTTTCTGCACACATGGTAGCCATTTAGGCTTTGTTGCTTTTCTGCGGTCTTTCCCAAAATTTTGCAGGAAAGAAGGGCTGGGAAAGATCGGAGAAAATCCAGGGGAAATCCAGAAGGTGCACAAATGCAGCCCAATGCTGTGAGGAAGTGGGACCCCCCCCCCCAAACAATATGTAACCTGTGTGGAAAAGGCTGGTATGTATATAGTTTGAAATATACAAAATTCACCATCTGTCTACCAGCAGATCCACCACCCATATGAGGGGGTGTGCTATCTTGGTTATAACAGCCTTTTTCAAGACATTTGGCTAATTTACAAACAAGTCTTTTTTTATAAAAATTGTAACAAAATCTAAATTGTAAGAAAAAAATCAGTCCAAATGTAGTATCATGTTCTACTCCAGTCACCCCTTCTTTTCTTTTAAAAATCTTTCTTTTCACTTTTTTTCATTCCCCTTTCTCCTTTGGCTTTCGGATGCTAATTTTAATGATATTAATTCAATAATTATAGCTATTGGGAAATTATACATTGTCTTAAATCTTTAGTAATTTACTCTTCTTATATATTTGTGAAGAAAAAAAGAATCTGTTTTAGCTCTGTCATGTGTAAATGCCTGGACACATTTGCTGCAAAAAACCCTGGATTACAGTGGTCCATTAAAAAATCTGCTTAGCAAATGCATTAGCTACCATATTCTGCGAACAGTTTTTCAAAGCATATTGATGGCAGCACTTGTAGATAGAACACAGCGCAGAACTCAGTGCAGATATAACTCAGTGCAGAAGTGCCATGACCTGGATAGCCCAGGCAAGCCTAATCTTGTCAGATCTCGGAAGCTAAGCAGGGCTGACCCTGGTAAGTATTTGGATGGGAGACCTCCAAAGAATACCAGGGCCTTGGGAGGCAGAGGCAGGCTATCAAGCCTCTTCTGTGAATGTCCCCTATGCCCCAATAGGAGTCACCAGAGGTAATCATGACTTCCAGGCAGGAGCACGCATACACACACACACACACACACACACAAACACAAATGCCAGAATACCAAAAAAAATAGTGCAGAAGTGACAATTGTAATGGTTTTTTTAACATTGTATACTATATTTGCTTTTTGTTTGTTGTTAGCTTGTAGGACTGAAATTGTCTTTTGTATCTTAAAGTCATTTATTTAACTAACAGGTAATTTGCTGTAAGTAGATGCATTTTTAAAGTTGAGACTTCTTATGGCATGTTACAGTCTGAAAAGCAGAGAAATTTCCTGATCTTTTCAGCAGTAACTGCAGCATTTCCGTAGTCGCATAGGGGTCTTTCTGCATGCTATATTTATGTGTTGAAGAGACATGGCACATGTAAAGTGCATCAAAATTTAAAGAACAGAACTCACTGTGCTAATTTGCCATAGAATGCTATTTTCTTCTGTGTATTATCTACTAGGATGGCCAGCCGGAAGACCCAAGTGGTCCAAATCAAGAAGATGGAGTGGCCACAGCAGCAGTGAGTGTTTATGATTCCTCATTTGGAGTGAAATTTGGTACATTTCTAAAATTTTGAATTTAAAAACATGCCTTCCTGTTTGGTAGACAAGTTAATTGTTTTTACTTCTACCACTAATAATACTTCGCAGTCTCTTTTGACTATCACATTTTCCCCATATAATTCCAGTTTTTCAGTTTCTCTTTTGGGTGAAAGAAGAAGAGCGAACTCCGAAAGGAGGCCCCTAACTTGATCAGATATGCTGGTCAGGTGATTTCCCCTAGAGGCAGTTCCATGCTGCTTAGTTTAGGGACACTTCCTAGTTTGAGCAGAGGGACTACGGCACTGACTGTCCATCCCTTGCAATGGCTTTTGAGTCAAAGTGATGCATGTGAAAGCTTAATCTCCCTTTAGGCTTTGCAACCTCCAGGTGGGGCCTGTAGATCTTCCAGAATTACGTCTGATCTCCAGACAAAAGAGATCAGTTCCCCTGGAGAAAATGGCTGCTTTGGAGAGTGGACTGCATAGCATTGTATCCCACTGAGGTCTCAGCAATATTACAGGAGTTACACAAGGGTATTTTTGCATGCGATGTATACATGGTGAATGGATGGGGTATAAATAAAATGCAGTAAGGTTTAAAGGTGAAATTATACCGTGCCTATTCACTTACAGAGTATTATTTCCTTTGTGTATTTATCAAATAGGCTGCACAGCTGGAAGATACAAGTGGCCCAAATCAGGGTGACAGCGTAGCCCCGGTGGTGAGTATTTGTGACTCGTCAGATGGGAACCAGTCCTGTAAATGTACAAATCACAGAACAGGTTAACACAATACCTTATTTTGCCATTTTCTCTTTCTTTCTCTTTATTTCCCAACAACATTTTTGTTTGGTTTCTAGATTTTTCCATCACCCAAGGTCATGCTTTGTTATGACAAAAAAATATGAAAATAGCTTGCATTTCTAGTACATTCTTAAAACTGAATTTCCAAATATTCACACTTGAGTCAATAGGGCTAATGTGGTTAAAATTCAGCTTGTTCTTTAAAGTTTTGCTGAATCTTGTAAGATAGTATATGAACAGTATATGAACTATTTTAATGCTGCTTTTTAGTGTTCAGGTTTCAACTGCTTTTAGTTATTACAGCCAGAAGACAGTAATGCCAAGGTGGAAGGAGCAGAAGGTGCTCCTATGGCTGCTAGGGAGGAAGAGGCAGAAGATGTTCCTTCAGCTGCTGTGGAGGAGGGGGCAAAAGGTGCTCCCAGAGCTGCTATGGAAGAAGAAGCAGACAGTGTTCCTGCAGCTGCTGTGGAAAAAGGGACAGGGGCTGGTCCTGTGGCTGCCATGGAGGAAGGGGCAGAAGGGGCTCTTGTGGCTGCCATGGAGGAAGAGACAGAAGGCGCCCCCATAGCTGCTGTGGAGGAAGGGCCAGAAGCTGTTCCTTTGGTTGTCATGGAGGAAGGGGCGGAAGGTATTCCTACAGTTACCATGGAGGAAGAGGCAGAAGGTACCCCTACAGCAATCACGGAGGAGGGGTTCCCAGCAGAGATGGGTGAGCCAAGCACCAGCAGACTAGGCATTCCTGAACTCTCCTTTGCAGAGGTGAGTGACGACATGATCCATAGGAACTTGTTTTTCCTGGGTGTACAGTCTGTTTTTGTGTCATCACAGATCACTATCATGAGATAGTTCTGATGTTGCAAATTCTTTTGAGACTAGTTAAATAAGGTAGAAGATGAGAAAAGAGGTGAAAGCTGATAGCCAATGATCCTCTGATAAAGTCCAGTGGCTTCTCTGGTGGCACACTGGGAAGGGTGCTGACAGGCCAGGGTCTCAGCTTCCTCCTGAGTTACTACTGGTACAGGAGAACGCATCAGGCATAATTTCCTTGAACCAGATCTGGTGCCAATTGAATCCTGTGAGGTATTTTACTAAGGCACCTCTCTTAGTTTTGGCACATATTGGCATATGTGGGTAAGAGAGTGGGTGGGCCACACTAGGAGGGAGTACTGTGGATAATTGACATGAGGTAGATGCTGGCACACCTGCATGAACATATTGCCCCTTAGGTCGTGGTTTTTATACTCCTCGTAGACCCTCCAGTATGAGTGGCAAGAAGATGAAATTGCTGCAGCATTTTGGTTTCTCTCATAGCTTTATGTGAAGTGTAACAACAAGATCTAATTAAGAGCAAATCATGTTCCTGTTCTTTTTATAGAGCTCTTCCTTCAGATTCCAATAGCAGCATTTCCTCATGAGCTGTCCCTTTGGCTCTGTGCCTTTTGTGGCATTTCATTATCAGGGAATTTCAGGCATGTGAGAGATGTCTCATGAACTTTCAGTTAGCAGGAGCTCTCAGAAGTCCCTGAGTTGACTCCTAATCCTACTCTTTAAGATAATGACATAGGTTTTGGAACCATAATATTTTGTTAGTGGGTGGGTTAGAACCAGTGCAAGGACCATGCAAGGATCACAGATTATCCTGGCTTTCCCCTCTCCGGAGGAATCCTTTCCAACCTAAGGATAGTTTATTCCTGGGTTCATGAGACCCACATGGAGCAATAGCCATGCAGGTCAGGAGGATGTAATGGGGATGGAGAAGGGGGTGGGATTGCTTCCCTCTTCCTCTTCCGTCTGCAGAGCTCCAATCATGCAAGAGACAAAAAGGGAGTGATTTCACCCCTTTCCACTAGTACTCCACATGGGTCCTTCAGTCCCAGGAATGAATTTTCCTTGGTCAGAAATGGTTGGTAGGAGGAAGAAAAAGCCAGAACATCAGCAACCATCATCACATTCCTTGAATGGATTGCAGGATCCCACCCATTATTTACACTATTTGTTTAATGCTTTTTAGCCATAATAACTCTCAGAGTGTTTGTAGGCTTGGTTTGCATTCTGACCCTGGAATGGATCCTACCAGAACTTCCACCAGTACAAGGATGCACCCCATTTGACCCCTTGAAAAGGCTATGCCAGCAGCTGTGAGACCCACATAAGACAATAATCCAGTGAGGAGTGGAATCTGTTCAGGTTGACATTGCTTCCTCTTCTGCCAGTGGAGAAGCTGATAGGAACCAATCCCTTGTCGGAATACTCTAGCATTTGTCTGATTGCCTGCAGCCAGTTTCTTTGGTGATGCATTCCTGTGGCTGCCAGCAATAAGGACAGAATAACTGGTGCAGTCTCGATCACCAGGGCATCCACGGTGGCCTTATAGAAGCTACGGATGCAGCTCTCTCCCCCTTCTATCTTTAAAAAAGCTATAGACAAAAAGAGGGACCATGTCTCCTAGAACATTGTTACAGCAATTGCCCATCCTTTCTCCCTCTCTATCTTCTGGCTTTTAGGCTGGAAGGAAGAGAGGAAAGGGCAACAGCAGCTGCATTAGCACTGTGCTGTGGAAACACAGTATATTGCTGAAGTAGCTGCTCATCTTTGCTCCTATTTTCCAGCATTGGTGGAAGAAGAGGCAGACGCATTGCGAGTTTTTATAAAGCTGTAACAGTAACATGATTCCAAACTTTATTTTGTAGTTGCAGGAGCTATAAATGCACTTTTCACTTAAAAATAAGTTTTAAAAGTGAAAACTCATTGCATTGTACTAAGTCTGCCTGGAGGCCCTTTTTTGTCCATTCCTGTATACTTCCTTTAAATTGCTTTCCCTTGTCTTCATGAAGCAGCAAGAGTTAAGTGACCTTACTTGAGATTTTTAATGAATGATTTATGCAGAATTGTATAGCAACCGGCTTTCTAAGCATGAATACCCTTTTGGCAGTTCTCTTCTGACAGTAGTCTTTTTTCCCCTCAGAAAAAAGAATACCATGTTTCCTCTGAGAGGATTGCCATAGGCAGAATTCCTTCCAGGCTGTATGGTGAGGAACAAGTAGTGATCTCTTCTCCATCTTCAGCAGCCAGCAGCCAGAGATCTGATTTACCTCTGTTGGTAGATGTTCAAAAGAAGCCAGGTAAGAACATAAGAGAAGCCATGTTGGGTCAGGCCAATGGCCCATCCAGTCCAACACTCTGTGTCACACAGTGGCCAAAACCCAGGTGCCATCAGGAGGCCCACCAGCAGGGCCAGAACTTCAGAAGCCCTCCCACTGTGCCCCCCCCCCCCCCCAGCACCAAGAACACAGGGCATCACTGCCCTACATACTAGCCAGAGTCTTGTTGAAGATGGCTTTCCTTATTATTACAGCACGTTTTTATCTAGTTGATGCTGAAAAACTGCAACACTCAACTCTGGCCTGCACTTGTGATTTCTTGCCTGGTTTTTATTATTATTGTACTAGGATGCTTTGGATATTCAGGTTAGTTGGATAATCAGAAGTATGAACTAACAGCAGTGTTGTTTGCACAGTAATAGGAGGAAGGCAGATTTAACCCAAGAAACTAGGAACTAGAACACAGTTTAGAAACTACACACATAATAACACTGTTGGTTTACTTTCATATCCACTTTGTTTACTTTTTTATCCAAGTTGCTTCCATGTGGAGGTTTTGCTCTGTGCCCCCCTCCCCACCGGCAGTAGCATCATTGTGCAGTTCCCCAACTTCCAAGATTTTCACAGATTTGCTGCATTTCCCCCCTAATCTGCTTTGATTCAATCTTTCCTGAAAGATCATACTCAACTCATCTTTTTGGAGAGGGTGAATGGAAGGTGTGGATTTCTGGACCTCCCCATCCACATTCAGCAGCATTTCCTCTTTCATTTCCCCTCATGCCCACCATTCTGCCCCATACCTACTGGCAGGATTGTGCTGATTTTTTCTGTCATTATCAGCAGTTGGTATAGCGCTCTAGCAATATACCTACTACGGTGTGTTTCTTAAAAAGAAGCTGGCAAAAAGCACTGTGGTGTTGGGTGGCAGGGAATGGCAGGTGCAAAGGAGAATGGAGGAAAGACAAAGAATCCCCTTGCATGAAGGCTCCCTTTCTGCTATACTTTTAATGATCAGAGTAGTAAAACCAGCACTAACATCAATAAAACCTTTATAGCAGCACTAAAATACTTAAAAACTAACTTTAAATTTAGTAATACAACAATAACATTAAAATTCTAAAATCAGGAAAACTATTTAAAATGGTGAAAATATGCATAAAACAAAATAGAAATGTCCACAGCAAACAGGGTAACAAAGCATGAGAAGCAAAGCTTGACAAGGTACAACACACAGCAGAACAGCAACCAAAACCAAATCAGTTGGCCAGGGAAAAGAGAAACATTTTTACCTGGCATCTAAAAGGTAAGTCTTGTCACCAGGCAAACTGAGAAGTCAAAGGCAGGGCTTTTTTTCTGGAGGAAAACAGAGTTCTGGAACCTTTTCGATAAAATTATTTTAAAAATGTTTAAAAGTTCATGAGTGTTCAGTATGCAGACTGAAAACTTCATTTCCCTCTTGAGAGTTCTGGCACCTCCCCCCCCAAAAAAAAGTCCTGGTGAAAGGTATTCCTCAATTTAAACACCAATAAAGGAAGGCCCGTGCTCTTATATTCACCCTCTATTGCCGCATGTGGTCCAAGAGACATGTGCTATAAACCGTTCTCCATGCAAATAGGGCCCACTTTCCAATTTGGTCCCAAATTCACACTAGAGTAGCCAGAGCATAGAGAAGAAAACTTTCCTTCTTCTGCCTCTTGCTTCAAGGAGTAGTTGGGATTTTTGACAAAGTGATGAAGCTCCTAGCACAAGTTTATAAGAGGTACTGAGAGTCTTGAAGAGAGTGAAATCAAAGATGAGTTTATTGAATTGAATAATTAACAAAAATCAAGCAGTCACGATAATATCAGGCACACAGTATGCACCACTATCAAGACCATGTTAATAGCTGAATGTCCCAGATGCCAACACATGCTGTACAAAGTTTATCATTCAAGACGGGGAGGGAAGAGGCCAAAGAGATAGAGAGCAAGAGTGTGAAGCAGGGATGATACGTATTAGTGCAGGTTCCAGACACCGTTCTGATTCTCTGTGCAGGGTTCTGAGTGTCTTAGCCAATAATCCCAAAAAGTAAATGGAAGGGAAGAGCAGTGGGGCCAAGTGTTGCTGTAGTTCCAAAGCAGTTTAGAGAGGTAGAGACATGTGACAGTATATCTAGAACCAGGAAGCCTTTCTAGCTACACACATGGGTTGAGCCTGCAGGAGCACATCAGAACTTAGATTTGGGAAAATATTCTGACCCCAATTATAAAGTGAGAGATTTGAGTTACATAAAAAAGCTTATTTTCTCTCCCAGGTAGGAGAATGAGGAGGGAGCCAGATTAGGTAAGAGGTGTGATCCCTGTCCAATTCAATGTGATAAGGAGGGGAGGTCAGGGTCCTGGGAACATTTCCAAATAAGGAAAGAGATGTGTTGCTTTCTCTTTGAGGCCACTATCATTTCTGTTGTGCATGGTGAGATTAATGTGGTGTTTTTGCTGAATCCTCCTGACTTCTCTCTGCTGGTTGGAAACAGCCAAAAACAGAGTTGATCTCTGTACCAAAAAGCAGGGGGAGTGAGAAAGATATGCCCTAGTGGAGACTAGATGTGAGTGTCACATCACTTCATCTGGTAGGAGCACACAGAATAGGGCCTGTAGTGACAGTCTTATGGCAGAGTCTTTTAAGTAACCTGACCCCAAACTAGGGTTTTATAAGTATTAATCAGTACTTTGAATTGTGCCAGAGAGTTAAAGTGTAGTTCTTTTAAATCTGGCAAGATATCATTAATCATATCCTTCTGCCACATTTTCCATGAGTTGAAGCTTCTGAACAGTCTTCAAATGCAGCTCCGCATGGTGTGCATTGTAGTAATCCAAGCTGCATGTGATCAGAGAATAGATATCCATGGCAAAACGATACTACTTAAAGAAGCACTGCAGCTGGCATAACAACCATTAAGCACTTGAGTATCTGTACAAAAAATAAAATTCCTTAGGATAAACTCCCTCTTTAAAAAATACTATTCACCAACTACATTGCATTCTGTGTCTCTTATGCCACTTATCTCTCTTCCAAATATATGTCTCATGGAGCAGCTGCCTTCCCTCCCTGTTCTGAATCTTCTCTTCAGCGGATGACTCCACAGTACAGTAGAAGCGGTCCTTTGGAAGAGAATGAGGATGAAATGTTGCATTTGGTTGAGCGGGAGACTGAAGGAAGTGAAGAGGCAGAGGAGGAAACACAGCTGGTGGTGCTGGATCCTGAGCATGTAAGACCAAAGCCAAAGAAATAGCTCTAGTGTTGGCAGCCAAATTTGGAAGGCAAACTGGGCTACACACTAGCTGTATTTTAGAGTTAAATGCAATTAATGTTGATGTACTGTAACATTTTCATGATCGACAGTTGCTTTTTTATGGAAAAAATGTATATATTGCACAGCATGTTATTCAATTTGTAGATATTCATTTTTAAAAACAGCCTATGACTCTAGTCTGATATGTGATGGACTATGGGAAGAAAACAGACCCTTACTAGAGAGGGAACAAAGCAACCAACTCCTTCAAGTAGATTTGCTCACACTGGCTCTTTCAAAAATAAGCCACATTTTGCTTGGGAAGTGAACGAGCCTCAAATCTCAGGTCTGCACAATCCCTTCCTCTTCCCCAGAGTTGGGCAGTTTAACAAATGGGGGGGTGTTTCTTTCCCTCAACCCTGGTTTCTGGGAAAGATCCAAGCCCCCAATTTGTTTAGGTACCCAAATTCAGACGGTGCAACAACTCAGAATTAGTTCCAAAGCTTCCTGAACTTGGAAATCTTCAATTTTAAGCTCCACGCACAAAGATGGGGGGAGGAAAGAGGGGGCTTGTGTGCTCGAGGATTTGAGATTTGTACACCTTCACTGTGGTTAGTTCATGATGTCAGAATGCAGACCCAATGAACAATCAAAGTTACATTTTGGTAAAATTCTAGGTTGTTAGATCCCTTGACACAGCTCTGCCAACATACATAACTATGTTGAGTCTGAGCTGCACATGTTTCAGTGGATTCAAAAATGATATGTTTGCTTGGGATTCACATGTGGCAGGGAACACCCATTGTTCATCTCAATCATATTGTTTCTTCTCTACACTTGGTACTCCATTCCTTCTTTAACCAAGTTCCTTCTTCGTGAATATTCCTTCTTCTTCCCAGCCTCCCACTCGTCACATTATGGGATGTGATCTCTTTTCTGCATCCCTTTCCAGTTTGCTTTCCACAGTTCTAGTTCCCTCTCATGATCCCAGTTTTCTCCTTCATTCTTTGAGCCGATATTTCAGCTGTGTCTCTGCTTCCACACACCTCCCCATTGTTTCCTGCTCAGCAAACGAGTTTGTCCTGCAACTAAATGGTCCCAAAGCTTCTTACTCTGATACCATCTCCCTTAGTTCATTTTATCCTCTTGTAAGGAACACTGTGGACTGAGGCATCTGACAGCATTTTCCAAGCTGAAAGTTGGAGGCAAGGATTGGATATCCATAGTTGTAGTTCCCCTTCCTATATTTTTCTTTGTAGTTTGTAGTCTTATTGAAAAAATAAAAATACCCCTCCTGAGGTTTAAAAAAACAACAACAACAATATGATGCCTTGGCAAAAGTTTATGGGAATCAATTTTTTTTTAGTTTTATCATTTAGGTAAGCTGTTACAAGGCTTTATATGGGCTGTATAGCCTTCCCATGTAGATCATGTATTCTGAGTAAGAACTGTAATTGTTGACTGATATTGCTACTGCTAATTGTTGGCTCTTGTTTCTCTCTGTAGCCTTTGATGAAAAGATTCCAAACTGCCCTAAAGACCTACCTCAGTAAACAGATTGAAAAGCAGATGGAGGAGCTTCGTGAGATGGTATGGAATATTTGCTTGGATTTCCCTCTCATTCTTGTCCTGTTCATGTCAAAGCGAGCAGTCCTTTTTCTTCCCTTTTGTGATTGCAGGTAGTTTTCATGAAGACTAGGAAGAAAGAGAGGGAGGAAGTTGGTGTGATTTTGTATGGAGTCCAGCAGCAGTTGGCCCAGCTGCAAATGGACTTGGAGAAGAATCACAATTGTCATACTCAGATTTCCATGGCCCGCCGGCAGCTAGAGGAAGAGTTGCAAGACCTCAGGAGCATGTACAAGAAGACATGCCAGAGCACTGAGGAAGAACGCAAGATAGGTGATGTTTCTTTACTGCTAGATTGTTCCTTGCTCTTTACACATTGTGAAAGTAAATTTGACAAACTGTTGCAAAATCGTTCAGGAACAGTGGTCTGGTGAATTACCTGTTAATGGAGCAGGCTATGGAAATTCTACACACCGCCCATCTTGCCTTAATTATCTTACGGTTGTTGGGTCATATTCATGCAGCTATGGCTGGTGATCAGTAGATTACAAATTGAATTTTGCTCTGGGAAGCTCATTGTTACTATATTAGCTGGTCACCAGTTTATCCAACTCAAAAACAGTAACCAGGCAATCTTAAACAGAGCTACATCATTTCTAAGCCCATTTACTTCAGTGGACTTACTGTAACTCTGCTTAGTTCTGCACAGCCCCCTCCCAGTAAAGACTGGTGCCAATGGACATGGAATCCCCTAACAGAAAATCTGAAGGAATAGCTATGGGGGACACCCGTCCTTCATCCATGTTAAATTCAGGGAGTCCAAGATGCCCTCCATTTTATAAGACCCCCAATATCAAGCCTTGTATCCCAGAAGCGACTGCAATGATGAACACAGATAAAAAGTCCCCTTAGATGGTAGATGTTGACTTTATGCCTCTCTTCCCCAAGCGCTGTTTCTGATGCTGACAACTGCTTCCAGGGTTAGAAACTCTGCTGATGCACCAGGAAGGGGGCTGCTGCATGTACTGTAGTAGAAGTTGCTGTCTGGAGGCTGCTGGTGCAACACATGTACTACTGCTGCCAGCTGCTTGGTTCCAGTTATCTTGTGCATAGCTCCCCTGCTTTTTCAGCAATGAAGTCCTTGGATCTGGTGCCATTTTTAAGCTACCTTTCCCTTCCAGATCTTAAGGTAGTAATTTTTTTCATTTTGTTGAGTGCAGAATATAATTGGAAGGTGTGGTCTTCTGTGTCTTAGTATTTGGCTGTGGTCATTTGCCTGAAGTTTGGATATCTGATCTTGAAAGATTCTGTCAGGCAAGCTATGAGAGAAAATTCTTTGCATGCTTAAGTTCCCAGGGCCAATCCTTGACCTGTCTGATAGCAGAACTGAGAAAGACTTCTGCCAAACACAAAAGAGATAACTGGGCTAGATGGATGGATAGTTTGACTCCATACAGGGCAGCTTCATATGATGTTGGGGCACACGCAAAATATGCAGGTTCTTATTTGAGTGGACCTCATGGAACAACTGGTTAGGGCCTGTCCACATAGCCTCTTGTAAGTAGAAGCTGCCTGATTAGAGTGCAGGCCTTTTCATGTTTTAGTTGGCTGTATGACTTTAACTTAAATGCATATTCTTCTTGGCAGCTTTCCCCCTGAAATCAGAATCTAGGAACTGATCTTCTTTCCCCTTACATATGGCTTGTGTGGCTTACTGTTTCTCCTGCCCTTTTGATGTGGTTTTAGCACCAGCAATAGAAATAATTTTTCTTGCTCTTTTTCATAGTTTCATCCATGCAGACAGAGATGGAAAATCTGTCTCTGCGCCTGTTCTACATGCAGAACATGGACCAAGATGTACGTGATGATATTGCTGTAATGAAGCGAACAGTGAAGAAGACTGAGGTGGAGCGGATGCGTGCAGAGGTGGAAAAGCAAAAACAGGTACCAAGCAATCACTGCACTTACTGGGGCTGTGTATAATCTTCTCCATCGGCTTACAATCCTTCTTCCTTCTGAAGTCCACAAACAGCTTTTGCCAATTCTTATCTCCCACCGGTCCGTTTGTCTCCTTCCTCTTCTATTTGCTATTCTGCTCCTTATCCCTAGGACGGGCCTCCCACTCAGTATTGCCAATCCATTTGCTTCTTCATAGAAGCCCATAATACATTATAGAAGCCCACATTGTCATCAAAGGCCTTTCTGAACCTCCCAAGCATCATCTTACCTGCACTTCCATCACCATCTGATTCTCATCTCTTTGTTCTATAATTTGTTAACTTATGTGGTTCAGAGGTTCTTTGAGAATGATGAGGGACAGGAGCAAAGAGTGGGCTGGTACTGTTATTATCAATGTGTCTGACTTAACAGGACCTTCACGTTGACCGCTTAACAAGGACAGCCGATGAGTTGCAGGAGCAGATTGCTTTATATGAAGCACAACACATAGCCCAGGCTGAAGACACCAAAATCACACGGCAAGACGTGGCAGAGGTAAGAGGGAATAGGATGACTTGGTCTGCGCTAAAACTTTTTCATGATAAGGCATCTTTCCAACTTTCTCCCAAAAGGATATTCTCAAATTGTATTTTTAAAGTTAACTAGTCGGTACTCAAAATTATATATTAATTATTTTGTATATTTACTGCAGTATGGCTTTTGCCTTTTTGTATTATGTATTTAGAGAATTTAGAGAGAGAAAGCCATTTTAAACTTCTGAGGAAGGCCTAGTAACCTTGGGCAACTGACTAGATGAGTTGATTGAAGAGCTTAATACTTATCACAGAGGTCCCAGACTTTGTTAAATCTTTTTGAGATTTTTGAGAATGGACTTTTGAGAATGAATAGTGTGCACCACCACCAAATGGCTGTCATGAGAAATAGCAACAGTCACACAATGGTTTCTGTGGGGATAATTATTAAACACTGGAAGGTTACAGGTCAAGTATAAGAACATAAGAGATGCCAATGTTGAATCAGGCCAAAGGCCCATCCAGTCCAACACTCTGTCACACAGTGGCCAAAAATACCAGCTGCCATCAGGAGGTCCACCAGTGAGGCCAGGACACCAGAAGCCCTCCCACTGTTGACCCCCCCCCCAAGCACCAAGAAGACAGAGCATCACTTGCCCCAGAGTCCCTATCTATACCTTGTGGCTAACAGCCACTGATGGACCTCTGCTCCATATGGTTATCTAATTCCCTTTTGAAGCCATCCATGCTTATAGCCGCCACCACTTCCTGTGGCAGTGAATTCCATGTGTTAATCACTCTTTGGGTGAAGAAGTACTTCCTTTTATCCGTTCTAACCCGACCGCTCAGCAATTTCATTGAGTGCCCACGAGTCCTTGTTTTGTGAGAAAGGGAGAAAAGTACCTCTTTCTCTACCTGCTCTATCCCATGCATAATCTTATAAACCTCAATCATGTTACCCCTCAGTCATCGTTTCTCCAAGCTAAAGAGCCCTAAGCACTTTAACCTTTCCTCATAGTATCCTCCTAGGATAGGGATATCTATCTTCAAATGGACATTCCCAGTACTGCCTAAGCCTTCTGCTATTTTCTGAAGCGCTTCCTGCTCCAGTGAGGTGGAGGAAACCTAAAATCTTTGCTCTGGGTAAGTGTTTTGAGGAAGCTGCTAGTAGGTACCAGGAAATTCACTGGTGGACACCATGGTGGCCATAGGTGCCACATTGAGTATCACTGAGCACCTAACCACATAATACATTGGAGTGGGTCCAGTCACCATCCAAAGAGTTTTCCTTCAGCCTAAGGAGATGTCTTCCAATTCCTCCACTTTACACAGTGGAGTGAAGCCCAGTGATAGGATCAGCCCCATTGTTTCCAGGTCTGGTGCAGATCCTGTTGATCAGATATGTGTTGGGAATTTCACATTGAAACCTAGTCTTCTGTAGACTTGTTTTGGATCAGGACTGCAGTGCATGGGGAGAAGGGACTAGTTTCCCCCCACCAGGTGCCATTTTCTCAGCCTGCAACTGCTTCAGGGAACTGCTGTTTGCCACTGGGAAAATGTACATGTACTGATGGGCTACACATATGTTTCCCCAGCAGTGCAAATATCAGCTCTCTGGCGCCATTTCTGGTTAGGAAAATAGCTCGGGGAGAGACTTAAACCTTCTCTTCCTGCATGTTGTCATCTCAGTTCAAACTGTGTGTCTGCATGCCTGGGAATTAAGTTTCAACATGGAACTCACAGTGTATGTCTAGTTGATAGGATGGGGACCAAGCCCATAAAGAATGTATTGTGTAGCCAGGGCAAACAACATGTTAGATGTAATATGTGTCAAGTCATTTGTAAATTGAGAAGCAGCTTTGGGACAGTGTGATTTTGAATGATGATGTGGATAGGAGAGGGGAATGGTCTTCACTGACCATTTGCATGTTGGTGTGTACGGTTTGCCCCCACTGTAGTTTAGGGAATGCGTAGGTCATGTACATTCTTGACTTTCCATTTTTCAATGATTCATAAATACGTTTTCAGTCCAGCCTTTCCTGAGGTGTAAAGATAAAAAGGAGCAAAATGAAGGAGACTAAGGTTTCAAATACATAGCATGGGTACGAGGTTGTAAATAGAAGAGGAGTGGATGGTGACTGAGAGAAAGAGGACTGGCCCATGCAGCTGATTTAGCATTTCACCCCGCTGCCTTTGCAGGCATGTACAGAAATACAATCTATAAACCTGGAGAAGAAGCAATTGCTGCATCAGTGGGCTGTCAGCTTGACTGGGATGAAGCGGCGTGATGAGGCATATGCTGCCATGCAGGAAGCGTTAAGGTAGCAGTGCTGAATCAGCGGAGAATTATGTGGGTAGGGGAAGATACCTAAGTGAAAAAATGCAAAATTATTGTTGTTGCTGTTGAGTTGGATGGCGATAATCCCACAGGAATCAAAGCTAACATTAAGAATGGTGATTGGCTGATGGCTGTCAGGCACAAGGGTCTTATTAAGAACTTAAGAAGAGCCCTGTTGGATCAGACCAGTGGTCCATCTAGTCTAGCACTGGCATTCAGTTTGCTGATTCTATATATGGAGGTTCCTTTTAGTCACTATGGTTAATAGCGAGAGACCTGTCCTCCATTAAATGTCTATAATCTAACAGAAAACAGCATAAAATATATCTATATAAAGAAAGTAGGCTTCTCTGGAGCACTGTTTTTATGTCCTAAATTTTTTCCCTGTGGCTTTGGGAGTATTCTATAATAACATTGCATACTTGGTGGGAAGTGATGATGAGTACTGAACAATCGTTTTTTGAATTTGATCTTTGAAAAGTTACTGAACCGAGGCCTCAGGAACAAGCAGACTCACCACAAAATATGGTTACCCATTACACACAGAAATTACCTGTGTGACTCATTCTTTATAAGATTTCCCAGTTGACAGAATCAGAGTAATCATGGTTCTTAGCCAGTATGCCTAAGAAATGTACACACATATTTACTGTGTGTGTTCCAGCCTTAAGACGCTTGAAATGAGATGGCTTGTACTTTTCTCTGTCATAATCACTATAGATAATTGTCAAAGTCTGGTGAAATTTTGGGGGAAACACAGTCAAGGCTGCTACTAGATGTTTGAAAAGATTTGTCTAAATAATTGCCAACTAAGTATATATAAATAAATAAATATTGGCAAGCCAACCTGTGACATTCAATGCATATCTTTTGCATTGTCAATTCCAACTGCTGTTCGTACAGGAAATATTAATTCCTGCCTTATAACACTCAGATTTGCTCAGTTGTGCACCAGTCATCAAAACCTGAGAAGGGAAATTCATTTTCTGTAAGCAGATACTGAACTTTTGCATCTGCTCTTCTTTGAATTTTGCTGCCAAGACACAGCTATCTATTTTCTAATATCAGAGTGGAGTTGCCAGGCCCATGCCTTCAGCTACTGAGTGGCTAGCAGAACCCAGTACCACCAAGTGATGTCATCACCTGCACCTATACCGGGTTATTGTAGCCACCGAGTAGCTGAATGCCTACAGGGTGCTGCAACCATGGCCCCTGGAGCTCCATCACCACCTTTTGATGCCCTTTGACAAGGTCAATACATTCCCCTCCCCCTTCAGGGGTGCTCAGTGCTGGCGGCTGCGATATTCCCTGCAACTCACCCTACAAGCTGCTGCTGTTTGGAGGTATCATATCTTTCCAGAAACAGAATATTGCAATTTTGAGTCCTGAAAAGCTGTGACATATAAGCACTGCATGGAGGAAAGATGTCTGTTTTTCCAAAAACAAATAAGTACCACCTACTCTATGTTCTACTGTACAAACAAACAATGCTGGGAAGGTCCTTATTAACAGCTTAGGAAGGCAGCTGGCCCTTGATGCTAGATGGGTCAGTCTGGTCTTCTGTTGCTTTTATAAGAGTTTATTTGAAACCAGAGGCTCTCAGGCAACTTTTTAGCCCTCAATCCATCTCTTTCTGCTCTTGTAGAGAAACCAGGCACAAGCTCAAGTCCTTAGAGATTGAGATTGAAGTCTACAAGAAGTCCATCTCCAAGGAAGAAGAGAGGAATGAGCTGTTAGCCTCGATCTTGAACCGCTCAGAGAATGATGGGAACACAAGTAGGAAATTGATAGCTCAGAGCGTAGCTAAACAGGATGCCATGAAAGTGGAATTTGGCACCTACACTCGTACCCTACAAGAGACGGAGCAAGCCCTCAATCGGGCCAATACGGTAAGATGCTGGGGAGGTGGGGGTCAGGCATTAATCTGCGTTGCTTCTGTGAATCAACCTCCATTCTGCTCCACTCACAGCTCCATGTCCCTTCTAATAACCCTGTGTCTTCCTTTCCCAGGATCGAGCTGCTCGCTTGAATGACTTGGTTACCCTTCGTAGAGAGATAGAAAAGGGATCACAAATCAAGCAGGAGCTGGAGAATGAAATTATTGTCAAGCTGCAGGATCAGCTCATGTCTAACAAGGCGGCGAAATACTTTTTACAACTGTCTACTAAGCTTCAGAACAGAATGACGGATTTGGTATGTGTAACCTTAATTCGTATGGAACTGAAGGGAACCAGCCTCCATGGGCAGTGGAAGGATTTTCTCCTCTCCTTTACTTTGGTTTGAGTGTTGGACTAGGATCTGGGAGACCGGTGTTCAAATCCCTACTATACCATAATTTTGGGCCAGTCACTCACTTTCAACCCAACCTTTGAGAGGCTAAAAGAAGGAGAGAATGATGTATGCTGCCCTGAGTTCTTTGGAGGAAGTGTAGGGTAAAATTGCACTTAATGAGTAAATAAATAGTTTTTTCAGATGGAAGAAATGTTGTCTCTTCAGGTAATCATTTACCTCTCCAAGTAGTGATAAGCTTAGCTGCTGGTCCCTTCCCAGCTGACTTTCAAAGCAATCTGCTTTTTGAGAGTGTTTCTTTGAGCACAATTCATGCAAAGAAAATGCAGCTGGAATAATTTTTTCCTCCTTGTAATATAGCTGTTGTCTTTTTGCATTGCCTAGATCTGGGGATGCCTCATCATGGATGCAGACATTGTATAATAATTGCTGCCTGCTTGGAACAAGTCTGCACAACATAGCTGAGGGTCACTGACAAGAAAGGCTGAGCCAGAGTTGGGGATCCATAGGCCAACAGCACTGGGAGTCCACGTTAGGGACTCCAAGGAGCCTTATGGTCTGAGGCTGAGACCTAGCCTTGTTGTGTATGGTCAGCAATTGGAGCCCTCTTCAAGCACAGAATAAAATAGGAGTGTACAACACTGGCCATTGCCTTTGGCAGGCAATGCAAAGCCTCTGGATTGGCTAGGTCTAGTATAAGTATCAGACCTTCTGCCCTTGACTTGGGATGGGCATGAACCGGGAAAATGTGGTTCAGTTTGTGGCGGGCCCACGAACTGTCACAAACTAAAAAGGCTTCATACAAACTGAACTGGTTTGTTAAGTCCATGAATGCCCCCCCCAGTGTGCAAGAGACACCAAATTTACAGGTGCTCTCCAGCTGACTTTCTTCTGTCTGCCCTCAAAGTTTGGTGAGGATTGGATTTATGGGGTCTGAGTTAGCCCCCCCCAAAAAAGACGGTGCCCCCAGGAAAGTGCTTTCTGTGGAAATGACAGGCACATGTTCAGGAGTGTATAGAACAGCACCCTGGTGTGCTAGAGACACCAAACCTGCAGCAGGTATCCATCTGACTCTCCTCTACCTGTTCTCCATGTTTGGTGAGGATTGGATTTACGGAATCCCAAGTTATGGCCCCCCAAAGAAGGTGCCCCCAACCTCCATTGTTTCCAGTGGAAAACAAACAGCAAAAAAAGCAAGGGCGATAGAAGCCCAGCAGAACAGAATCAAAGTCCCCAAGAATCTCTGCAGTAGAAATTGAAGGTGGGAGGCTTTTTTGGTAGCCCACCAGAACCAGTGCAGTGTGCACTGAGACTCAAACCCAAGCCAGCGTGCAACAACATATGTAGACTTGGTGGCTTAAAACCCTGAGATGTATGTAGACGTGGTGACTCGAAGCCCTGAGACTACTCAAGATCCAAACTTGAAAGTGTACAATGACACATGTAGATGTGGTGGCTTGAAGCCCTGAGTCCAGCCCTGACACACAAACCCAAAAAATGAAACAATGTATGTAGACATGCTGGCTCAAAGCCCTGAGTCCACCGGAGACTGAAAACCCAAAGCTTGCCCAGAACGCTCACAGCCCCCCCCCCCTCAGGTTGAAACACACAGCCAGTATTCAAAGGATAGAAAGGCAGATGCCCCCAGAGTTTTGATGGGGGCTCCCCAAAGTACCCCCATGGCACCTGGGAGGGTATAAGGGCACTCAGCTGAGGAACCCTTTAGTTAAGACTTACACACACAGGTGCTGCAGAGCACACCCACTGACGGGGATGTATTATTCTACTCTGCAACTGGGTCCAGAGCACACCCATCCATCAGGGTGAATGCTTCTACTCTGCAAATAAATGGAAACACATGTGAAGCTGGCAGGGCCACACACCTCAAGTCTTAAAAGACAGAAGGACAGAAAGGCAGACCAGGCATCCCCAGAATTTCAACAGGGGCTTCCCAAAATAACCCCATGGCGGCTTGGCAGACCCCCCCCCAGCCAGACACGACAAGGAAGGGAAGAGTGCCCACAACATGTGCCCAGGCCCACTCAGGCCTAAACACATAGATCCTCTGGTCGCAGCCCACCCCAGGTGAAATTTCTGGTTCTTCACCACTAGTGGAACAGATTGTACAGATAAGAGATCACCTGTTGTGATTGTGAATTGTACAAATGCAATGGAAAGGTGTAGCCAAACAGGGGCTTGCTTGTACGGGCAGATGTTTGTTGAGGTAGATGTTTACTTGAGGTGGATGTTGTTTCCATGAGGTGGGTGTTGCGCTATGAGGTAGATGTTGGTTCATGAGGTAGGTGTTTTCTCATGAGGTAGATGTTTGGGTTGGGTGTGGGGCCAGCCCACCCCTACCCACAGAGGCAGTTGTCCTCGCACTCAAGGCCGCAACCCACAGGCTGGATCACCCAGAGAGGAGGAGGAGGAGGAATGGGGTGACACACAGGGGGACATCAATAGGCCTGGATCTTACTCCACCAGATCCAGAGCAGGGTGGCCCAGCAGGATGAGTTTGACCTTCAGGAAGGACAACTCATCCACCCTGGCCAGGTCCAGGTGGGAGCGGTGGGGGCTGAGAAGTTCTTTCAAGTGGGAGAACATCCACTTGGTCTGGACGCTTGTGGGAGGGCAGGAGATTCATGGCAACACAAGAGAGGTTGGCCCAGATGACGGTCTTGCATAACCAGTATTTGAGGGGATCAGCGGAGGCAGGATCTCCTGCAATCTCTCTGCCAAGGCCCAGTCCTGTGGGAGTACAGCTGTGCCCTTGGGGTTCAGCTGCAGTGCAGAGGCCAGTGCCTGGTCCAGCTGTCAAATCAAGGGGATGACTTGCTCCAGGCTGGCCATGTGGGCGCAGAGCATGTTGGTGGTGTCCTGGAAGGGCTTCAGGACACACACCATTTGGGAGAGGGTCAGCCAGTCATTGGAGTTAATGCTGAGCTCCTCTTCCCTGTGCAGGATGGTCACGGAGGAAATGACATCCTGCACGGTGCTCTTCTGCTCCACCAAATGCGCTATCATGGCTTATATGAAGTTCTAGCAGGTGGGTAGGTCCTGGATGAGCTGGTGTTCCCTCTGCCTCTCATGCAGTTGACATGCAGACTTGATGCTGTGCAAGAAGTGGGCACCTAGGTGCTGGCAGTTTCAAGCAGGGACCACAGCTCGAGGGTGGCAGTGTCCCAGGTGGGCCTCACAGTGCTCCCCAGCCCCGAACCATCCTTCACCACAAGGTGAAGTGTATACACCAGGCAAATGCCCTTGAGGCATGCAGCCTTCACCGCTGCCAGCATGTTGGTGAGCCACAGATGCTGCTGTTGCTGTCCACCTACTCCCTCAGACTACTCTGTTTGCCACTGTGTGGTCTGCATCCAGCCCCTGCACATGGAGCAGAACCACTTTGTAGCCCGGTGGCAGGACTGTCCCCTCCTGGGGCCAACAGTATGGACAGTGAGGTCCTCCAGTTGCCACCAGTGGTCAGTGAGGGAGAGGTAGCCATGATGCCAGCTGCTCCAGAGGTCTGCAATGAAGTGGATGGTTCAACCTCGTCCTCTGGAGAGTTCTCCCTTGACCAGCACCACTGAGGAGTGGTGCATAGCAAGCAAGACTCACCAGCTCATGGTCCTCTGTGAGGGGATAGAGTACCTGGGAGCCAGGTGGTGCAGCAGCTGGCAAAAGGCTACATTCTCCACAAGGGAGAATGGAGGAAGACAGGTGTTGGGTGTTTGTGCTCCTCCAGACATGGGCGTGGCACACCTGGCACTCTACCACACAGGGGTCACTGGGGAGGGTGTGGAAATGTTTTCACAGGGTGGCCTGTAAATGGGGCCCCATGATTGGAGCAAGTGGGACTAGGCACAGCTACTTTCTGGAACTGGGCTGAGAGGCACCAGAGGGGGGTGTACTTGGGGTAGCAGGAGCAGCAAAGACTTCGAATATGGAAGGGGAAAATGCTTCCCCACCAGACTCTGAACCACTGCTGTCAGAGTCTTCTCCAAAGACTTTCAGCAACTGATGTGTATAAATGTGGGTCCTCTGGGGCTAAGCCCCAATGCTCAGCATGAGCACAAGACTGGGTGGCTCAGATCCCTGAGTCCACCTACCTACACCCAAGCCCCAGCAACAGAGAGCAGATCACAAGCAAGAGGGGTGGGGGAATATATAAATGTAGGTCCTCTGGGGAGGCACCCACGCTAAGCCCCAGTGTTCAGTGTGAGCACAGAGACTGTAGCCCAATCTGCATCTGCCGTGCAAGACTGCTTCTTTCACCTGTGGCGCTGGCTTCCATTGCCTCCCATTTGGCTCAGTATAAAAGCTTGCCATCTGCATAATGTTTAGGAAAAGCATGCGAGGGGGGAGTGGTCTCCCGGGGGCGCCACAGCTGCGCTGCGCTGCAGGGAGGAAACAGTACCCGCAACCCCCTGCAGAAAGTAAAGGGGGGTTGACCTGGCGGGGGGGCAGGAAAGATGGAACAAGCTGGGTAAAAAACACAAAACACCAGGCGGTTGCCAGGCAGGGTGTTCTGGGGACTGCCCCAGGAAATAACAAATGGTTCAGGGGTGGGCGTGTTTCCAACCCCCCCCCCCAAAATATAATTGCAGAAAAATGTTCCCTGGGTGCTTTTAAATGCAGATGACTGGATTTTCAGCTAACTTGTTTCCTTTGTGACAATTTGCGTATCTCCTTAGAAAAAATGGGGGGGGGGATTCAGCTCCAGTTGTCTGCTTATCGCTCACAGCGGCTTGGAGAGTGGGGAGGAGCAATTAAACCACCTTCAAATCCACATAATGCAGTTACACACCATAGTGACCCCAGAGTCACCACTAAATGGCAATAAAATGATGTAGACAGCTGATGCTGAGACGAAGCAATACAAGAACATATGCAGAAGGAGATGCAGACAGAAATCTGTAAGACGATGTGGGGTCGGTAGCACAATGGCCAGAAAGACCAATGCAGATTGGACCTGTGGCTCCAAGCCCTGAGTCCACTCCACACCCAAACCCCAGCAGCTGAGCAGATCACAAGCAAGAAGCAATGAATCCCAACAGCAGAGAGCAAATCACAAGCAGAAAACAAAGTAATAACTCTGTTCTGCTAGCTCCGTGCCTCTCTCGCAGTTCACCAGCCAACAAAGAAGAGGGTATGTGCAGAGGTGATGAATATGCGTTCTGAGCCCATAGAGCAGAATGGGAACTTTGTGATTGGCGGCCAGCAGAGCCTGTTAAGGTTTGGAGGGACCCATTGGTGTTTCCAAGGCTGGATAATTCCACCCCCCTGTTGCCTTGGAGTTTTGTAAACAATTTAATTGGTCAGCACCAGTCTATCTCTGTTCACAAGTCACCACTAACATTACTAAAACTTTGTGAAAGTCCATGAACCACAAATTGGCTAACATTAGTCACAAACTTTAGTTCGTGAGCCAGTTCCTGCCCATCCATACTCTTGATTGGTTAATCAGGCCTGTTGTATAAACAGGTACTAGCTTGACCTCTCTGCCCCAGCAAATATCTTCATGGACTCTGGATTGGAGAACATATATTCTGGATCTGGATTTAGGTACAGCTGCCCATCATCCTGACCTAATCTTGGTACTCCTGAGTTCAAATTTCTCTTGAAGTCATAGAACGAGAGTGAGTGACCAGAACCCAAACGTCATAAGATACCAAGGGTCATGAGTCCAAATTCAAACTGTAATCACTAGTTAGAAAGGTGAAACCAGGAGCCAGAATTAAAAATGAACCTATGAACTTGCATAGAGCTCAGTAGACAAGGGGAAGTTATGACTGAACCAACTTGAAAGTTCAGAATGACAGGAAGACAAATGACTAGAAGAAATGATTAGAGGAAACTAAAGTTGGGGCTGGTCAAGGCAAGGGAATTTAGCAGGATGTGCTTGGAATCAGTGTTGCTGCAGACATTTTTTGCTTCCTGTTCCCATTTTTTTTCTAATTCAGAATGGCCAGTCAGGGAGCACAAACCCCAGTACTGAAGGTTTGGATGTAGTCCAGCATAAACCCAGTATCCTGAAGGTTCAGGCTCCACTTCCCAACATTATACAGATTTTGTTAATTGGATTAGGTCAATGATCCTTCTAGTTCAGGATCCCATTTTTACTCATAGCAGGTAGTAAAGGGTGCTGTTTCTGCAACTGCAAATTCAGGCTGCTTCCACCTCTGCCTTAACTCTCAAACTGGAGTGGGATTTTACAGCGGTTCCACATGATGTCACCTCCCTCCTCCTGTCCCCCTTTCATTGCCTTTCATGGTTTCACCTGGTTTGCTCCAATGTTTCTGGAGCCTGCTTTGATCCAGTCTTTCTGGAAACATCAGCATCAAAGTCCTGGACAGAAAGGTACAAATTTCTAAACCACCTCACCCATATCTGGCACCATTTCCCCTAATGCCTGCCATTTATGCTTCTGCTGCTAGGGGCTTTTTGCTGGCGTTTGGGGGAAAATGGTGTGTTGGTATATCACTATAACGGTACAATGGTATACCTACTATAATATTTTTTCCCCTAGAAAAAGTGCTAGCAGGAAGCCTTCTGGCTGTTAGGGAGGGAAATAGCAGGCATGAAGGAATGGGGAGGGTGGGATGGCAAATTACTGTATGGACACTTTGTTGCCTCTGTGAATGGCGCTGCATTCACAGTTGCAAGGAGTCCACAACAGAGAATCTTCCCCATATGGATGCAGCCTTCTACATGTGTATGTACCCTCACCCGTTGTTTATTACCTTCAAGAGAAAATATATAGCCACCTGCAGATTTTCCCCCCAGTGAAAGTAAAAATAGTTGTGATGGATTTTCAGTTAAAAAAAAGAATTGGTATGAAGGGAAAACAAATTCTCCCTGCACCAATGTTCTGAATCAGATGAAAACCTCACAAATGATATCTGCTCTACGTGATTCATATTGGCTAGCATAGCAGGCATTATTTCAAACAATGAGGAAAAAGTCTTAGAGGGAGAAAGAGTTGCAGAAGCCTCTTACCTCTTTTGATAACCAATAATAATGGTACCCAGAGCATATTATCTGCTAAGCACTAGACTTGAAGAAAATATGAGATCCACAAGCCACCTCATTCTAGACAGTACGGTGACCTCAGCATGGTCTTTTGTTCACAGTATTAATAAACAATGTAATATGGGTTCTCTTCTTTTTTCTTGGTTTACCTAGGCTATACAGTTCTCCAAAATAGAAAATGATACAGCCCAAACTGCACTGAATATAACAAACACCAATTGCAGGCTGAATACACTTCAGAAGACTCTTGCAGAGCTGGACAAGGAGATGGATGACATGAATGGACAGATCAACCATAGCGAGTCTGAGATCAGCAGGCACAACCTCATGATTGGGCGCAAACAAGGAATTATCAATCTGTACAACAAGAAATTGGAAATCATGATTTCCCAGCTGGGGGTCAGTTTCCTGTGATTTTCACCAGTTTTCAAAATTCAGTCATGCTGACTGAGAATCTTACTCAACTCTTCAGTCTAGTTTCTAGCATTAAATTTATTTCCTATATTAACAGTCTGCCTTTCTCGTTGAGATGCAATGCAGATTACACAGTGGAAGCTGATATAGTCAATATGATAATTCATCCTATCTATGGTGATATAGTTCATAGTTCCTTACCTTTTACAAAGCACCTTCCTCAACCATCCTTTTATAGTCAAGCCCTGTTTCTCTTATACAAAGGCCCTCCTGAACAACTCCATATAGTTTGTAGAATAATAGAAACATGTAGCCTTGCTGACCACCTCAGGCAGGCCATTCCACAAGATGGGGGCACAGCAGCAAAAGCACACTTATGGACAGTTGTTGATTTTGCCCCTTTGCGGGGCGATATCTGAACGGATGAGCAAATCTGTCATGGTAGTGCATAGGAGGAGAGGCAATCCTGCAGATCAGAGGGTCCAAGGCCATGAAGGGCTTTGTATGTAATAGTCCCTTAAACTGAATCCAGTAACTAATAGGCAGCCAATGGAGCGACTGCAGGGTGGGTTCAGTATGCATGCTCCAGGTAGCTCCTGATACTAACTGAGGTGCAGCATTCTGTACCTACTGGAGTCTCCCAAGTCAACTTCAAGCACAAACCCATGTAAAGTGCATGATGATAGTCTAATCTTGATGTTACTGTGGCATGGATCCAGGTGGTCAGATTGGCCAAGCCAATATAAGGGGGCCTCTTTGATGCTATACTAAGTCGGTAGACAGTGTTTTTTTGAAGTTGCACTAGTTTGCTTCTCCAGCAATAATACTGGGTCCAGTATAACCCCAAGTTGGTAAGGGTCAGCTGAACTCCATCTAAAGTGGGAAGTATATCTGATGAAATGAGCTGCAACTCATAAAAACTTATGCTGGAATAAATTTTGTTAGTCTTTAAAGTCTTTAAGATGTCTCAGGACTTCTGTTTAATTTTGCTGCTACAGACTAACATGGGCTCCCTATATTGAATTGCAAGAAAGGAATTTTGTACATATAGAGGCTTTAGCCACCAAGTCATTTTTTTTCCTAGTTCTGCAAAGCTGAGTACATACAACAATACAGACATGGAAAATTGGGTCAAATAAATAATCCATTGATCCTTACTCCAGGGACAAGAGTTGGGACCTCTGGAACTTGAAATCAAGAAACTGAGCAAGCAAATAGATGAAATGGACATGGAAATAGTGAAGATGCAGAGGTTTTGGTTGAACCAGCAGAGGGAATTGGTGAAGCTGAGTAAAGAGAGGGAAGAGCAACTGGCATCCTTGGACATGCTGAAGAAAGAGATCACAATCAAGGAACAAAAGAAAGTGCGCACAGAGAGTAAGCATGGTCCTCCTCTAGGGGCTTGTTGATAAGGTCTTTCCTCTGAGCTTTGAATAGATAATCTTGTGTGCTTGAATCCCTCATACCTGTGATTTCAAGCCAATGACTTAAATACAGAAGTAATGGTAATATAATGGGAGAAACGTATCACCTGCGTCTCAGTGATGAAGAATCAATCAGCAAAGAGTTTTTCAAGTATCTGAAAATGTGAGGCAATAATTTGGGTTAGGGGAGTAGCTGCTCCTCACATCTCAAAGAACTTGCTACTTTGTCAATAACCCCAGAGCAAACTGCTGTCAAGGTCTTGCAGAGCTGATGATGCATCAAGCTGTGTGATGACTGCATGCTGTAGTTGACTCTTTGAAATCACAAATTTCACAGTGAAGCTCGAAAATATTCTGAATGCAGAAACTTGGTTTTCTGCTTGCAGAATTTGGATATGGAATTTTTGAATGGTTGTGCATGCATTCAGTGCACATGGAGGGCCCCCCCATGGTAAATAACACCCCCAGCATAGTTTTGGCTTAGAAAAATGGCGTGAGGGGGGAGGCAGGAGATCCTCCTTACCCCTGCACTATAGTCCTTATCAGAATCAGGCCCCCACAGTGCTTTTAAATTGAATTCCCACTGGAAACTCACAGATCCAAAATGGCTGCCAAGTCCCCATGGGGGACTTCTTGTTGTTGTGAAATGTAGTTTGGCCCTGAGACAAAGCTTCTTTTAGTACAACAGACTTAGCAACACAAACAGGATGCTGCTTGCAGAACTGTCTATGTTTGTGCAGCAATACTCTTACTCTCCTGTCTATTCTCAGCCCCATTCACACCAGCAGCCTAGGACTCATTCATATTTTAGGTAGTGGTTAGAACCCTGTTTTTCTCCTTCAGATGAAATCCAGCAAGAAAAAAATGAACTCAAGGACATCGAGCGCCACATGAAGAACATGGCCAATGATTTGGAAAAACTACATATGTTGATCAATAAGAACAGTGCAAGCTCTGAGGAGTTGCAGCAAGGCAACACTATTATGGAGAATGAATTTGTTCGTGCCCTCAAGGTATGCCCTATTTCCTGATAGCCATAGGTGAAGCATCAACAATGCACAGCAATGCCCTTGGCACTACCAAGTTTACAGTGTGTGCCACTTCCGTTGTTGCTGGTAAGAGCAGAGCCAGCCCCACCCAGCAGGCAGACATTGATGCATTTTTCAAATAAATCCAAAAACCAAGGGGCATGTGTTACTCTACTTTTCCCACATCAATGCTCTTTCTCTCACTCTGATTCTAAACCCTGCCCCGGATCTCAAAGATATCTCTCATTGATGGTAGCCATGTCAGTAGGCGTGACATGGCCACTGTCATTGCTTCCTAAAGGACTACATATCCTATGTGTTTTTGTTCATTCTGAAGTAACAATTCAGCAGGAAACTTTCTGATGTACCACTAACTTACACAATCACCCTACACCCCTCTGCGTGTCATCTGGATAAGCTCCTGTTACTCTGTTTTGCTAGAGGTACAAGAAAAAAGTAATAGCTTGGTATAAAAAAAGGAAAACAGTGGCCCCGGTCACACGGGCAGGAAACTGCAGAGGAAAAGTGTGGCTGTTTGCCCTGGGGCAAACAACTGCGCAGTTACGTGATCAGACCTCCTGTGGAGGTCCTGTGGAGGTACCGTGGAGGTTCCATGGCAAGGGAGAGGTGCCGATCACAGGACAAGCCGGCGCACAACGAAGAAGCGCGTGCCACGGCAAACTGTTTTTTATTTTTGTGTACATGACAAATGCGCATGCTCCGTTGGGTGCGCATGCGCATCCACAGAGACTTGGACAAAGAAAAAACACCTTATTTGCAAGGGGACATGGGCGGGTGCCGGATGCCACCGGAAACGCGATCAGACGCCCGCCCTTGCCCCGCAGTTTCCGGAAACTAGTTCCTCCAAGGTACTAGTTTTTTGCCACGCAGTTTCGGCTGGAAGCCTCGGTTGAGCCACGGGAGTGCTACGCTTACCAGATGTGCTGGTGAGATCGCGCCCGGAAACTCCGGCTGTTTTCCGTCTCACTTGTGTGGCTTCTGTTACGTGTGACCGCAGCTATAGTTCTCCAAAAGACAGTCTGATTTGGGACAGTGGGTTCTTTCATTGCCCATTTTTCCCTTCGGAATACATAATGAAACATTTCTCTGGTTCTAGGGAGCTGAGAGGGAATCGATTGAGTTGCAAGAGAAGCTGGACCAACTCCATGAGGAAAAAGAGAGACTCATCAACAGCCTAGTGGAGACGGAGTGAGTCTCATGTGTCTTTCCCCCCTTTTGGAAGGAGGAGGAGTCAGCTGGTCAGTCAAACTGTAATCATGGGTTCCACAGATCAAATTTCCTCATGTTGTAGCTTTCCCTTTCCTTCTGTCCTTGAAGGTGTCAGATGATGCAATGGGAAAAGAAGATACAGATCGCCAAAGAGATGCGTGCTGCTGTGGACTCTGAGAGTGGGCAGGGTGAAATCCAGGCCATGAAGGCAGAAATTCACAGGATGCAGGTGAAGTGTATTGAGTAGACTGTTCTGGATTATTCAGGTTGGGCCTGGTTCAGACATAGGTGTGCACTTAAGAAACCCTAAGCATCTAATTAGCTTTCCTATATAACTCCTAGAGGTATACCCCAGTGACATTTCAGGTTCATTAAGAATGTAGTAGGAGCCGCGGTGGCTCAGAGGTTAAGACACTGAGCTGCAGACTGGAAGGTCTGTAGTCTGGCAGTTCGAGACCCGAGTTGCCGCATGACGGAGTGAGCTCCCATTTCTGGCCCAGCTCCTGCCAGCCTAGCAGTTCGAAAGGAAGAAACTGCAAGTAGATAAATAGGTACCGCTTCAGTGGGAAGGTAACATTGTTCTATGCGCCTCAGCATTTAGTCATGCCAGCCACATGACCATGGAAACGTCTTCAGACAGCGCTGACTCTTTGGCTTGGAAACGGATTTGACTGGCTTTCGAACAAGGGAAACCTTTACCTTTTAAGGATATAGTACACTCGTAATACTATTAGAGAATCACTGCTTCCATTTTAAGCTTTTATTTAAAATTTAACTATTCAGCATTCTTAACATTGGCTAAATCAACAGAAAATTATACCATTCATCGTTGTTACATAGATAATTAAAGGAGAATAATTACATGAATCAATAAAAATTTCTCATCCAAAAGATAAGCAGGTTACAGGTAAAGAGCCCCTTGTGAGAATAAACTCTCGATCAATTCAACTTCCCCTTAACTAGGTGTCCCACTTGATAAGGGTGCACATTCTTGGCTAACTTCAAACACCACAAGGTTATCTATACTTGAACTGTCTTCTTAAAATATGTAAACACTTTCAGTTCATTCTTGCTACTTTTTATCTTACCAAAGTCTATTTAGAAATAGTGATTACAAGTTTCTCATACATATGAATATCTTTTGGCCTTCAGTGAATACACTCCATCTACCAACCATATCTTCACTTCTGTGAAGCTGGACATTCTTGCCATTCTTAAATGCTCTCTGCACTTGGGCCTCAACAATTGATATAAGCAAGGCAGTTCTTAATCTACACAAGACTATATAATTGTGTTGTCGTTGTCCTCCTCCTCTTCCTCCTGCTGCTGCTATTCTATTCTGGGTTTCTCAACTTCCTTTTGGGCATCCACAGTGGGTAGGCCAGACTAGCTTTGTTTCTGTGCACAGAGACATTTGCTATGCTTTTTTTTGCTCAAGTCCCACTAATTTCCCCCATAATTCTGGCTATGTCCTTGACAAGATAAATTGTTATGTATGCTGACAAAAGCATCAGAAAACAGACATAATGTCACCCTGATACTCTGAGTCAGACAGCTCTTTAGCATAACCAACCTACCTATACCGTACTCTGATAATCCTCCTGTTTGCTCCATAGATATATCTAATACAGTGAAGAGCGCAGGAGAGAAGGTTGCAGATAGGTGTACTCTGTGTGTTCTATGCCGAATGGTTTCCACGTATGCAATGACGATAAGCAGTTTCAAAGAACAGGAACACAGCTTCTGCAACTAGAATATTACAATGCAAATGAATTTCAAGCATGTTGAATGAATATGATTCTGGTTGCTTACTTCGTCTTAACTTTTATATAGAAACGTGTCAAGAAAGAAGTGGCAGGCAACTGTTAGTGCCAGAACAAGGGAAGCACTGTAAGCCATAATGATGGAGGAGGAGAGGCTCTTGCATATCATTTCAGAGAGTGCTAATTTGTGGTAGTTAACGTTCTGTAGGCACTGGCAAGGTTCTATAGGAATTCCATAAAGATTGTGAAGTTCTGCGGTAATTCAAAAAATGTGTTGCCGAATATACAAATGAACATACAACTGTTGCAGATTTGAACTTTAAAGCATTGTTTAGGATGTTTTGATACAGTAGGCCTGAGAGTTTGCTTTTAGGTTTTTCTGTAGATCTGCAAACATGCATTTTTTTCACCGTTCTAGCTAACTCTCTGGGATGTTCAGAAAATGAATTAGATGGCTTATTAAAGTCATGTGAGGTTCATGGAATTGTGTCTATGTAAAACCTCACATCTCTCAAATTTGGGTTGTAAGACTATCTTATCTTTTCTGAAAAGCTCTTGGTAAGAATTTAAGAAATTGTACATTATCTTTAAATTCTGGCTAGGTAAGAAAATGAATGACATGTATGCTTTTTATTTATAATCTCATTTACACATGTGTTAAAGTTGGCCCATCCTGTCCTAAGAGAATTGTTCCCCTGTCCTGGACCTGAGACCCTGGAACAAGACCCTTGTTGCTAACATAACCAAGATTAATCTGGGCTTGGACCAGTGAACTCTCAGCAGCAGGACACCATAAAACTAAATAGGATTTATTGTAAATTTTAAAAATATATAATTCTAGTGAAGGTTCAAGCACATAAAAAAATAAGCTGGCTTCTTCAGTACCCTTACTGAAAGGTTCTACAGTGCAGATGTTAACTTCTTGAGACTTTGGCAAATTCAGTTCAAAAGCAAGCAATCAGCATAATCCAGAATAGATGTAATGGCAATTTAACAGAGCAAAGCCAAGATAACAAGTGAAGGTAAGGGATGAAGCCTAAGAGAATACCCTACATTTATAGGAAACTTAGGCTACTGATCTTCTGACCTTCCACAACCAATCAGAACACTGTCCCAAGAGAGCTTTCTGGAAGATGAGCAAACTCCCCCCACGTAGTCCATCTGAAACCAGTGAACCAAGTAGGAGGACTGTTAGAAGCGACCTTAGGCCGGTAGCAGTCTGTGCTGGGGAGGGCTGCTTCTCATCAGTTGCTGACATCTGTTGTTCAATGAGCTGCAAATGATGGAATTTTACCCAGCAATAGTTCATTCCCTTGACAACATGCTAGTGTTTCCTGTATAATGGGATTCTTGTTTATTGGATTTGTTCAAGAATAATAAGAATGATTTTAAATAAAGTTCTTAATTTTTAAGTTTAACTTAACCTTTTAATTCAAGGTTTTCACCAAGGCCTGGAATATATAAATTTCTGACTCTCTTCAGTCAGAAGACAGGAACCTATACTGAATGATCATTGAAGAGACTGATCTCATAGCCTTGTGGTATAATGGCCAACACCTTGCTTTAAAACAGTCGTAGAGACCTGTCGGGTCTGCAGGGTGCTGGCTGGGTGCAACATGACTTTTATGCTAGGGAGTTTGGCAGTGGCCTCAGATGATGCAGCAGGAGGAGAGGAGAGTTGGCAGACACCCAAGTCCCTCTCCTGTTTGTGGGTTCCCCATTGCTCTCTCTAGCCCTCTAGGTCTCTCCCACACTCTTCCTCCTCAGCCAGCCTTGAGCTCCCTGCTTAAGTCTTCCTCTTCGGGGCGAGGCCCCACCGAGCCATGCAGTCCCTCTCCTCCCTAGAAGGATCTGGCTGACAGCCAACCTTTGCTCCCAATGGGTTGCTCTCACTCTCTCCTTGAACCCACCCCCTAGCCTTACCCTCATCATGGGGTGAGGCTGACACATCTGTTTCCAATCTCCCTTCAGCCCAAGCTCCCATCCACTGCTTCCCTGTTGCTGCAGCCGGCCTCTCCTCCCCCTGGGGAAAGTCCCTCCTGTAATCCAGCTGTGAGCCTGGGAGACTCCAGCAATGCCTCCCTGAGCTGCAAGATGCCATTTCTTGCTTTTTCTTTTAACAACCATCTGGCTCTCTTCAGGGTTTGTGAGTGCAGGGGTGGGGCTGGGACCTTCACCCCTGGACAAGACTGTTTTACGTAATGCACTGTATTAACTAATGTACTGTTTTAAGTAATGCCAACCACATGCAGGAGTAACTTCATAACAGAACTCACATTCTCAGAACTACAGAATCATGCTGAACCAAGCTTTGGCACCAGTCTAATTCTCATGTGTCCCCTATGTATAGCTAAAATGTAATATAAAGAAGTACATCATTGTCTTTTAGGTGTATTCAGCCTCTGTGTATTGTAGGTAAGGTATGACCAGCTGAAAAAACAACAGGAGAAGATGATCCGAGATATGGAGGCAGCTGTTGCCCGCCGAGAGACCATTGCGATTCGTGGTGAGGGACAGAACAAAATGAATAAAAGAGTGCTCACAAAAGGTGACTTCCATTATAAGAAGCAGGAGCTGAAGAAAAAAATCAAAGAGACTCAGAAGGTATGCTTGTATAAAAAGACATTAATAACTTAATAGGGCAATATAGCTAAGAAGGGGATTTTTAACACTGATTTTGTTTGATGCCCCATCAAGGAATTTACACATGTCACATCAGATCTGATAACAAAAGTCCATGTCTGGCCTGACCATTTTTACACTGTCCCTGAAATAGCACAAATGTTTTTACAGTGTACCTGAAATAGCATTCTGCACAATGCTTCCCAACGTGAAAGTTAGTGCCTTATCAAAGAAGTACTAACCTTCTTCCAGTATCCCTTACCTTTGTTTGGACAAACATCTCAGAACATGTGTCTTCAAGGTTGCTGCCATTGACTGCTGTTTCTCTGATGGTGCTGCTTGTTCTGACTGTAATATTAGGAGATGCTGAACTCTAGTTTATCTTTATGTCTTCTGTGGAGTCCACATGGGACCACACTCGTGCAGGCCTGCTGCAGAAATTGGTTCCAAAGCTTTCTAGCTCTCTCTAGAAAGTTCAGAATGCTACCCCTCCACTGACGCAAGCTGGAGTTTTCCCACCCAAACCAGTACGTGATGGAGGCACAGAGAAGAGTGCTCCTTGCCTTAGTCCTATCTTTGATACCGTGGAGACAGGACACTCTCTCTAGCTCTGCTACTTACCTCAGACTTCAACTTTTTCATTGGTAAAAAACTTTGTTCTTTTCTCTTTTACTGTGGTTGCTATCTTTAGAAAGAAGAATTTCTCAATATGCTGTTTCCTGGAGCCTTGTAAGCCTCGGTTCTGGCCACATGAGCTCCTAAGAGGCACAGTTTGAGGGCTCCCAAACTCTAAAAATAACAACAACAAAAACAGAAGAACCAAGAGATGTATAATATTCCTTGCTCCCCGAAATGGCTGTGTTCAAAAAAGGTTCTGAGTGTGGTCTTAAAATGGCTGCCTTTGGTGCCTTGGTGAGCACCACGTTACTGCATGCCCAATATGCAATGAGTTCTCACCAAACACCTGTCAAGAATGAGCCTCCAAGTTGAAAGCTTTCCTGTGGGAGAAAGCGTTGGGAGCTCTGAACAAAGATCAGATGCCTACCAAGGGGTTGGAATCAGAGTGTAGGGTCCATGCTAGAGGCGTGCAAAAAAAATCGGAATTTTTTGGGTTCAGGTATATTGAACCTGAAAAATATCAGTATTTTCCGATATTCCCGAATCCCAATACCGGTATGGTATTTGGATTCGGGATTTTTCAGAATTCCTGAATTTTTTCAGCTCCATTATACCCTATAGGGACTATTACAGCCAATGGTCCCCATAGGGTATAATGAATCAATCCAGGCGTATCTGGGGCTCGGGGGGGGCTGCTTTTTGAGGCAGAGGCACCAAAGTTACAGTATAGCTGCTGGTGGCTCTCCTCCAACCCCCCCCCCCCATTTAGTTTCAAAAAGATTGGACCAGGGGATCCAATTCTATGGGTCCCCAAAGAAGTTGCCCCCATCCTCCATTGGTTTCAATAGTGGGGGGGAAGGTCCAAGCCGCGACTCCACAGGTGAACTCCGAAGGCATTTCAATGGCTCACAGTCCTTTTAAGCAGCTTCTCCAAGCAGCAAGTTCACCCAGAGGGTGTTTAAAGAGACTGCAATCCCTTTAAATGTCCTTTAACTGACTATTCGGTGGTCCCGAAAAATTCCAAATATTTTTGGGATTTTCAGGCCTTGGCCATTTTGATAGCTGAAAAATAGCCAAATTTATATCTGGCTGAAAGAATATCTGGAAAATGTTTCAATAGTGGGGGGGAAGGTCCAAGCCGCGACTCCACAGGTGAACTCCGAAGGCATTTCAATGGCTCACAGTCCTTTTAAGCAGCTTCTCCAAGCAGCAAGTTCACCCAGAGGGTGTTTAAAGAGACTGCAATCCCTTTAAATGTCCTTTAACTGACTATTCGGTGGTCCCGAAAAATTCCAAATATTTTTGGGATTTTCAGGCCTTGGCCATTTTGATAGCTGAAAAATAGCCAAATTTATATCTGGCTGAAAGAATATCTGGAAAATACCAATAAGGTTCTCAGCTTTCTTCTGTGGCACTTCAAGGGTGCAGGCAATCCTGGAGAACTGGGGATGGGCAGCTGACCTTTGCCTGCTGAATTAGAGCTGGGGGGTGGAGGTGATTCTGAACCAACTCTCAGCTGCAGGTCAGGGAATGCCTGCACCTCATTTCCCGGCTTCTGTCGACACTGGCTACACAGGGCCTCTCCTCCTCTGAGGAGTCCTCACTGTTGCTGAGCCCTGGCTGGTCCATGACATCAACAATCTAAGTTGCAAAATCTATACCTTGGGGGCTCTGACTCTGTGTATGGCCAGTTTTAACACCATTATGGAGTGATCAGATGTTCCTGTGGGAACAAATCGCCCCATATATTGAAACTTTGCCCAAAGATAAAAATACTTTGGTGGAGGGCCTAAATCTCAGAAAGCAACAGCTGAATGCAGCAAGACATATTGCTGACTCAGTAAGCAGATCCGTGGCCTCTGCAGTAGTTCTCCACCAGCATTCTTGGCTAAGGTGTACCATGCTTCCATACGACACTAAAGCAAAGGTAGATTTGCCTTTCAAGGGCAAGGACTTGTTCAGTATTCAAACCGATGATATTCTGGACCTCATGGAAAAGAACAAGCTAATTGCAAGGTCCCTTGGCATAACTGGTCTGCCCGTATACTGTCTTGCCTTCTGGCCTCGCCACTGCACCTCGGGTGTTTACCAAACGTATGTCTGCTGTTATCGGCCACCTACGTTTGCAGGGTTACAGTGCATACCCTTACCTAGATGACTGGCTCTTCACTGCATCCGCTTCTGAAATACTGTTTAACTGTATCTCATTGGCGACTCTGATCTCCCTGGACCTTCAAATTAACTGGGATAAATCTGTTCTGTATCCAGCCTAGTCCATTTTGTTCATTGGGGCCCAACTTGACACACGTCAAAGCAGGGTCTTCATTCCCAATAAAAGGGTAGCTTCTTTGCAAGCTATGGTACTTAGATTTACCACCAATAGGTTTCAGTTAGCTAAACAGATCCAAAGGCTTTTAGGCCTCATGGCCTCAACCACCACTGTGGTGTCCTTTGCCCGCCTCTTTATAAGGCCTCTGCAGAACTGGTTTTTAAGAGCTTTCAGTCTGAAGAAAGAGTCATATTGGAAGAAGCTGTCCATACCCAGAAGGATTATATGTTCCTGGGCTTGGTGGTCCCAAAGGGGGAAATTTATTGTGGGGTCTGATTTGGAGATTCTCCATGATATCCACATTTTTACAGATGCCTCCTTCTTGGGGTGAAGTGCACACTAGGGGTATAAAAAAAAGGTATTTTTTGGATTCAAATATACTGAACCCAAAAATAATGATATTTTCAAATATTCCCTTATCCCAATATCAATATGGCATTGGGATTCGAGAATATTTTGAAAAACCCAATTTTTGTTGGCTCCATTATAGCCTATGGGTCTCTTTAAATGCCTGTTGCCTTTTCCAAGTGCGGCAGCGGCGCAATTTAGCAAGTGAACTCAGAAGGCACTAGCCGAGTCCCCCTGCTACCACCACCACGGGGCTTGGAGGTGTAGGCATTTAAAGGGGCCACGGTCTCTTTAAATGCCTATTGTCTTCTCCAAGTGCAATGGCGGCGGCAGGGCTTGGAGGAGACGGCATGCCTTCTTGGTATAGCTGAATGCACCCAAATAAAAGCAAAAAAAAATTCGACTTTTTTCAGAGTCAGCTGTATCAGTAGCTGAATGCAGACCTCTGGTCTGTATTTGGCCTAAAAGTACCTGAAAAATACTGGTAAGGTATTTTTTCGAGTATTTTTCCGGCTCAGATAAACCAAATGTACACCCCTAGTGCACACTGTGGTTCTTATTGTATTAGCAGCCACTGGTCCACCCGTGAAAATAAGTTACCTATCAGTCATTTAGAACTCAGGGCAGTTAGATATGCTTTGGTTTCACTTATAGCCCTAGTCACGAACAAATGAGTTCTAGTAGCCACAGACAGTACTACAACACAGTTCTATATAAGCAAGCGGGATACTGGCTCACTCACCCTTTCTGTGGAAGCTTCCCACTTGTGGAAATGGGATATCCAGCATGATGTATCATTAGAAGACAAACACATCGCTGGACTGGTGAATATGCTGGCAGACAACATCAGCAGGGATACCACCTCCATACATGAATGGTGCCTTATGGTCAGTTATTTGTTCCCTGGGTTTCAACACTGGGGCTAGCATCAGGTGGACCTCTTCACTTCTTATGTGAACACCAAATGCTCCAAATTTTGTTCTCTGGCTGGGACTGACGCAGACTCATTGGGAGATGCTTTTCAGCTAAAATAGCAAGGGACCCTGTTCTGTGCCTTTTCACCCATCCCCTTGTTGGGCAGGGTTCTAGCCAAACTCAGAACAGAAACTCCCACTGCATTCTGGTTGCCCCTTTCTGGCCAAGATGGGTGTGATTCCTAACACTCTGGTCCCTCTCCAAGGGAGAACATCTCCCCCTACTGGAAGTGGAGGATCTCCTTCATTTAGGCCACCTCTGCCACCACAATGTACCATCCTTGTACCTGACAGCATGGTTGGTGGACAACTGCTAGACTGGTCAGACAGGGTTGTCCAAGTGTGCTGTTATCCTGCAGGCATCTGTCGATCAGGAGGTCTTGCACTGACAAATAGTTGAAATACTCTCTGTGGGTGTCTGCCCATCAGCTGCACCCTAAATCATGTCCATTGAATTTTGTGTTTGACTACCTACTACACTTAAAAGATAGTGGTTTGGCTGTCACCTCAATTAAAGTGCATTTGTCTGCCATCTCAGCTTTCCACAATTTAGTCAGTGATACCTCAGTATTTTCTACCCAGATTTCCAAAAAAATTCTAAAGGGTTTGTTTAATTTGTACCCTTCCCCCACTCCTCCACCTGTTCCTCAGTGGAACCTCTCCCTGGTTCTGTTTGCTCTAATGTTCAAGCTCTGTGAACCCCTTTGCTACTTGTGACCTGCCCTCCTTGTCCTACAAGGCAGCCTTTCTTTTGGCTATTACCTCTGCCCATAGAGCAGGTGAGCTCAGGGCTCTCCGATGTACACCACCATTCACTAGATTCCATACTGATAAAATGGTCCTACGCCCAAGTCTAGACTCTCTCCCTAAGGTGCTGTCTACCTTTCACATTTCCCAGGACATAATCCTGCTGGTGTTTTTCCCCTCTCCAACCTCAGATAAGGAAAGGACACTACACACTTTAGATGTATATAGGTCATTACTTTTTTATTTATATCATACAGCATCTTTTCAAAAGGATGACAGTTTTTTAATATGCTTTGCTGGGCCCCACAAACTCTGCACAAACTCTCACGTTGGGTAGTCAGGACAATACAACTGGCTTACTCTGCCTCTAACGTGGACTGCCCTTTCCCTTTGAAAGCTCACTCAGCCAGGTCTTAGGCTTTTTCTGCAGCAGTGACTTGGTCTTCTCCATTGACATTAATCAAACACTATGCTGTTGATGTGGACTTCAAGAGAGATGCAGCAGTGGGGAAAGTAGTTTTGCTGAGGATCCCACACCCACCTCCCTCTGGCAAGTGAGCTTGCTGTTCTCCCCTGTGTGACTGCACAGAAGCCATGAAGATGAAAACAGGGTTGTACTTACCTGTAACTGTTGTTCATCGTGGTCTTCTGTACAGGCCCACACCCCTCCTTCCTTTCCCCACAGTGGGATCCTCTGCTGTCTGGATTCTTCGCGATGGCTAAGGGAGGACTGAGGGAAGGAGAACTCTCCCCGCCTCTGTCATGTACCAGTTTTGGTGGGAAAACTCCATGTTGGAGGGAAGGGGGAGCACTCTCAACCTTCTAGGGAGAGCTACAAAGCTTTGGAGCCAATCTCTGTTGCAGGCCTGCACAAGTGCGGTCCCATGGGGGACTGCATAGAAGACCACTCACTGAACAACAGCTACAGGTCAGTGCAGCCCTGTTTTCTCTTCCATTGCCAGCAGCACAAAAATGTGTCTGGGTTGGCTCCCATCATTGACTGAAGAGGAGGAAAGGATGATTTGACCTCCCTCTTCACTGCTGCCTCCTGTCCCATGTGATATTAATCCATGTAGGTCCCATTACTCCTGGAATCAACTTTCCTGGGGTCAGACAACTGCTGGGAGGAGGGAAACGGGAAATATAAGTATCAGCACTTTCCACTGATAGATTGTGGGATCCATCCAACCCATAGTTTATCACATTTTTATCTTACCCTTCCTTCAAGGAACTCAGGGTGGTGTACATGGTTCCCCCCCCCCTCTACATTTTATCCTCTCAGCAACCCTGTGGAACAGGTTAGGCTGACAGAGAATAGTTGGCACAAGGTCACCCAGCAAGGTCACCCAGCAGAGTAGAGATTCAAACTGGCACCTCCCAGATCCCAGTCTGACATTCTAACCACTGCATCATGCTCACCTGGAATGCAGCCTGATATAGAAGAGGAGGAGCCTTCTAAACCCACAGTAAGTATGATCTGAAAACAGATTAGCTTACAGAACAAAGAGTATATCTTTGGAAGGATGATTGGAACCTCCCCCCCATTTATATAATCTCTTCCAAATGTGAGTTACAGTGAATTGATAACATAGAACAGCAACACAATGGAAGTGTACTGTACTGAACCCAACATGGGACATTCTAAGGTCCCAAGCTCAGTTCAGTTGCAGCACACTTCCAGTACTTGCTATAGGAGCATTCACCTCTTCATTGCTTATGAAGGAAAGACAGAGCTGAAGAACGGGCCACTTCATATAGATATTTTTCTGTATGGTGCCAAAGAAAAACACTTGCAACCACTGGCCAGTTTAGTTGGTACTGAGATGCAGAATATTTGTTTTTGACCTTCCCTTAGAATGCCGAGGATTGCAACAGCATCATAAGTCAGCTTGATGATACTCAGAAAAATCTCAGCAATGTTCTTCTGGAGAAGCAGAAACAAATTTCCAGCTCAAATGTGGAAAATGATGAGCTGGAAACAAAAATCGATCGGCTGCAGGCAAAAAAACTACAGGTAGGCAGGGTTGGGTTCCTCTGCAGTGTACATTCATATCCTTCTTGGGAGCTGATTTATACATTCTTCTGCTGGCCCATAATCATATTTACCCAGACATGTTTCCAAAAGCACATCTCCTGCTTTACTTTCCCAAAGTTTTAGTTATAGGGAGAAGATACTTTCTGCCCTTTTCACTGCCCCCTCTCTGCTCCAGCTGTTCCAGCACTGGCGGTGCCACACAAGTGTCCTCCTCAACCCTCGCCTGCTGGCTTTTAAATACCTGCAGGCAGGCTTGACAGTTGTCTCCTCCCCTTTTCCCAGCAAAGTTGCATTCCTGTCACCATGGCGACGCAGCAAAGTTACATTCCTGCCACCATGGTAACGCAGCTGTGGGTTGTCAATTGTCCCTCTTCCTGCTGTGTGGTTGCCAGAGCAACAGCAATTTTGGTGACTGCTTTGTCAGCAGCCCAGCTTTCCAGGTACCTTGCAGCTATAGCTTCCATCTTCAGGATTCTGTAAGTCTGTTGAATGGGGCCTGAGTCTGGAAATCTGTACACAGTGTTAAGAGAGGTGGGAAAAGAAACACATTTGCACTTCTTTTTCTGTGTTGATGGACGAGTGAACTGACTGTCAGGCATGACATTGCAGAGCATTCTGAATGCAAAATATGGATGCGTCTGTCTTCTGTGACATTCTACATCAGAAGCATATATGCAGATAGCAATCTGGTGTGAAGCTGGAAGAGACTGAAATGCTTCAGCTGTGACAGTGCATTCTGATTGGGTTGCAATGGTTAGTATTCTTTCATTGCAACCCAAAGCAGATTTACACCCTCCTAAGTCCTTTGAAATCAATTAGAAGGGTGTAACTGCTTAGGATTATACCGCTTGTCGCCTCAATTCAGTTCTCCCATTACATTTTTCATTTTATTTTCAAAGCCTGTTCTCATGCAATTAAAGTATAATGTTTCTGTGGTTTATAGTACCTAAGGGAGTAATGTGTCCAACATTCCTCTGACCACTTTTCACTGCCTCACCTGTTTATACCAGAGGGAAGACAACAAGAAAACATGTAAGACTTAGAATTAAAAAATTAACTTATTGACTATACTTCAGATATACCTTGAGAACATAAGAAGAGCCCTGCTGGATCAGACCAATGGTCCCCCTAGTCCAGCATCCTGTCTCACACAATGGCCAACCAGTTCCTCCGGATGGCCAACAACAGGACATAGAGGCCAAAGCCTTTCCCTGAGGTTGCCTCCTGGCTCTGGGATTCAGAGAATTAGTGCCTCTGAATGTGGACGTTCCCCTCAGTCACCATGGCTACTAGCCACTAATAGACAAATCCTCTATGAAGCTATCTAATCCCCTTTTAAAGCTGTTTGTTCCTGTGGCCATCACTACATCTTCTGGCAGCGAATCCCACATTTTAATCACTCTCTGTGTAAAGTAGTATTTCCTTTTGTCCATCCTGAACCTACTGCCCATCAGCTTCATTGGATGCCCTCGGGTTCTAGTGTCTTGGGAGGGGGAGAAAGCGTTCTCTATGTCAACTCTCTCCATCTCTATCATGTCCTCCCCCTTAGTAATCTCTTCTCTAAACTGAACAGTCCCAGGCTCCTCCGCCTTTTCTCATAGGGAAAGTGCTTCAATCCCCTAATCGGTCACCTTGATCAAACTGAAGGATTCTTAGATATTGTAAACAAAGAAAATGCCAAACATGTGGTTGTTGTTTCTGTCACACTTAGCATGCTTTTATTATTTATTTCTTTAAATATTTATAAAACAATATGGCTTAATGTGGCCCTTCCCTCTCTCTCATTTGTGTATCCCTCCTCTTCATATCTGTAATTTCTTTCCCTCTTAGGGCTTTTGAGATCTCTTGAACCTGGGGTGCAGTCGGGTTTCCAGGATCACTCATTTAAACCCCCTTTCTGATAACTAAAACCAACTAGTGTGAGCGTGACCCCGAAACTTAAGTGAAGAACGGTTGAGGAGACAATATTTATAAAATAAAATGAATAAAAACAAAATTTATTTTAAGATCCACATAGAGTTCAGTATATTCAACCACTTCTCTCAAGTTCTAGCCCAGTACTGGAAAATATAAATTAGTCAAAGGACACAGTTATAAACCTAACAGACACAGCTTATAAACCTAACATTTCCTAATCTTATCAGTAATAGCTTTCTTTCCTAACTACCTTACTTTATAAATCCCAACGTATCTAGTCTAGCCATTCTTAAAGAGATTGGATTTATACCCCACCCTTCACTACCCAAAGGAGTCTCAGAGCGGCTTACAATCTCCTTTCCCTTCCCCTCCCCACAACAAGGTAGGGTGGGGCTGAGAGAGCTTTCGAGAACTGCTCCTGAGAGATCATCTCTGAGAGAATTTATGACTGACCCAAGGTCACACCAGCAGCTGCATGTGGAGGAGTGGGGAATCAAACCTGGTTCTTCCAGATTAGAGTCCTTGCTCCTAACCACTACACCAAACTGGCTCTCAGAACTGGCAATCAGAACACTTTACTCCTGTGTGTATGTGTCTCAAAGGTACTCCACTGCACACACATACACTTTTCCCTCTTGCCAGACAATCTCCTTACCTTTTAACCCCCCTGTTAAGAACTTCATATACAATTCGCAACATTTTAGGGCACATGCATTATATCACAACCACCATTCTCAAGAAGACTCAAGGCAATATACAATAAAAATTCTCTAAAACACATAAAATAGTAAAATCCATAAATCCACAAAACAACACACAGAAATGCAACAACTTCCCAACCAAAAATAGGGCATCAAAAGTTCTGAACAGAGTAGTTTTTCATCTATTTATCTAATAGCCAAGTTGCCCCCGGAGTGCGGATCGCTAAATCAGCGCTCCAGGGGCACTTGGGGGGGAGGGGGAGGTTTGTGCACACATGGGCCAGTCCCCACGTGTGCACAAAAATGCTAAAAGTAGAAAAACATTACATCCCCCCGAAAGTGCAAGAGCGTTCCGTGCGCATGCGCACGGAATGCTCTGTAGCTGACCGCGCCGCCACCGCCTCCTTGGAGCCGGGCGGGCGGGGGGAGGACCGGCCTCTCCGCCGCCACCTCCGCCTTGGAGCCGAGCGGGGGGGGGAGGACCGGCCTCGCCGCAGCCGCCTCCTCTGGGAGATCGAGCGGGGGGGGATGGAGGAGACAGAGCTCTTCTCCCCCCCCCCGCGAGTATCGCGGGTCCCCGTCTTGTCTTTTCCTAAAAGCAGACAAGGAGGGGCCCTCTGTAACTCTACTGGAAGCCTGTTCTAGAGTGCCAGGACAATAGTAGAAAATGCTCTGTAATGGCCTGGTGCTATACTCACCCCTGACTGAAGAAACTTCAGGAATTTGCTGGGAGGAACATAAGTGATGCATGGGTGAATACTGGAATGAAACACTGGACTTACCTGAAGGCTTCTTCTCTTCAGTGAGGCGATGTCATCCAAGCTGGTTAGGTCATACCTTCTCTTGCTCCAGGCAGGGCTATGTAAATCTTTGTGTGAGTGACCTGGGGCGGAGCGAGAAAGGCAACAACTCCCCAACCAAAAATAGGGCATCAAAAGTTCTGAACAGAGCAGTTTTTCATCTTTTCCTAAAAGCAGACAAGGAGGGGCCCTCTGTAACTGTACTGGAAGCCTGTTCTAGAGTGCCAGGACATCCAAGCTGGTTAGGTCATACCTCCTCTTGCTCCAGGCAGGGCTATGCAAATCTTTGTGTGAGTGACCTGGGGTGGAGCGAGACCACCTCTCCAGTCATCCCATAGCCTAGCTGTATCCGGTCTTCTACTTCCTTCCTTCGGGCAGGAAGTGGATGACTTCGCCCCACTGAAGAGAAGAAACCTTCAGGTAAGTCCAGTGTTTTGTTTTCCTTCAGTGGGGGAAGTAATCCAAACTGGTTATATGCTAATGCTAGCTGACGGGATGTATTAGCCAAAACATTCCTTACTCCTGTCTCACCCCACTACTTGCTGTAGCACTCTTCTCCCAATGGAGTCCTGCCGGCCAATCGTATAGTGCCTTACAAAGGTAGAAAAGGATTACCAGGTGGCTGCCCTACAGATCTCGTCTACATATGCCCTGGTGGAGAAGGCCACCAAGGTGGCCACCGCCCTAGTGGAATGTGCAGTAACACCTTGTGGTGTCCACAAGCCCATGATCCCATAGGCTTTATGTGTGCAGAGCTTTATTCAAAGGGCGATGGTGACCTTTGAGACTTCTCCCCAGGTTGGCTGTGCTATGTGAAACAAACAGGCTGTCTGTCAGTCTCAGTTTGTTGTTGTTGCTCAGTCGCACAGTCGAGTCCGACTCTTCGCGACCCCATGGATCAGATCACGCCAGGCCTTCCTGTCTTCCGCCGTCCTCTGAAGTTGGCTCAATTTCATGTTAGTTGCATCTATGACACTGTCTAACCATCTCATCCTTTGCCGTCCCCGTCTTCTTTGACCTTCAATCTTTCCCAGCATCAGGGTCTTCTCCAGTGAGTGCTCCCTTCTCATTTGGTGGCCAAAGTATTTGAGCTTCAGTTTCATTATCTGGCCTTCCAGGGAACAGTCGGGGTTGATTTCTTTTAGGATTGACTGATTTGATCTTCTTGCAATCCAAGGGACTCTCAAGAGTCTTCTCCAGCACCATAGTTCAAAAGAATCTATTCTTCGGCGCTCGGCCTTCCTTATAGTCCAACTCTCGCAGCCATACATGACTACTGGGAATACCATTGCTTTGACCATGCGGACTTTTGTTGGCAGGGTGATGTCTCTACTTTTTATCATGCTGTTTAGGTTCGCCATCGCTTTCCTCCCAAGGAGCAGGCATCTTTTAATTTCATGGCTGCTGTCACAGTCTGCGGTGATCTGGGATCCCAGGAACGTGAAGTCTGTCACTACTTCCACGACTTCCCCTTCTATTTGCCAAGGAGTGATGGGGCCGGATGCCATGATCTTAGTTTTTTTGATGTTGCATTGTTTTATCTATGTATATGCACAGAGCCCTGCACACATCCAGTTTATGCCATTCCTTTTTCCTCGGATGCGAAGGCTTGGGGCAGGACTAGTTCCTGGCTTGTATCATCCGGACTATTGAGTGAAGCAACTCCATGCAGAACTTCCGCTTTTTTATCCACAAGTTCAGTTCCTTTAGGTTGAGAATTGCCCTCCAGTCTCTCGACTTCTTGGGCACCACAAAGAGGACTGAGTAGACCCCCTGGAACCTCTATGAAGCAGGTACCGGCTTGACCTCCCCAATGGCCAGAAGATCTTCTACAGCTTGTAGGACCTCCATTTGCTGTCTTTTTGCTTTGAGGCCGAGGTAGATGGCATGGCTTTCTTCTTTTATTTTGTTTCTACTAAGACCTTGTCTAAAGCTCCCTCCCTGAAGAGCAGTCAACCAGTTTTTTTTTCTGCAGACAGATTGGATTTTGATAGGGTTTCCACCTTCCAGTGTTTTAGCCAGAGATTTCTTCTGACTACAACGTTCACTGCCTGCACCCTTCTGCAGAACTGCATGGTATCCTGAGATACATCTGCAGCAAATTCTGCCGTCCTCTTAATCTTTAGAAGCGATCTCCTAAGTGTGAGGGGATCAGGTTCCATGTCCTGAAGTAGATTGTTGGCCTAGATAACGATGGCTGTGCTGAAATTTAACTGGGCCGCTGACGCCCTGATTGCGAGAGAAGACGCCTCATGCAATTTCGTGAGTGCCGTCTCATTTTTCCTATCCACCAAGTCTTTGAGAGTGTTGTCTCCATCTTTTGAAAGGAGAGCACCCAAGTGTAGGGCAACTACTGGAGAATCCACTAGGGGGACCTTGAGGTCCTCCATGGTTACCTCTGGGTTTCTTGGCAATGCTTATTAGTGAAGAGCCATACCCTGGGACAGCCCGTTCCACCCTCAAGACTTCATTTAAAAACTCTGGGGATGGGCAGACTGATGGTCTCTTAAATGGTCTCTTAAAATCCCACCCATCGAGTTTGGCTGATGCAGATGATCTGGGTTTTTCTGGGCTATCCGTCTGGTAATTCAGAGTGTAAATAACTTTCTTCAGCAGCCTCTAAAAGTGCTTGGCTTGGAACAGTCTTAAATGAACTGTCCTAAGTATCAAAGTCCTCTCCTGGCCACTCTCCTTCTTCCCTTTCTGAGCTGGGTGCTATAGAGATCTTTGCTGAGTAGCACTCCTCAATCTCAGATTCAGAGCCTGAATCCCCTAAACTTCAGGTCTGGTGCCTTCGCTTGCAAGAGACATGGATTGACTACCCCACTGCCCCCACTGTGATGGCTGAGGATCTATCCCAGGGGTAGGGTTGCCAAATTTAAAAACTCTACCGTCGGGGGAGCGTCCTCCTGCTCCGGGAGCCAGCCGGGATCGTGTGTGCGCGCGCGCACCACCGGGACGTCACCGGAAGTGACGTCAGACGCTGGGGCGGAGCCACGCCATTTGAGGGGAAAACAAAGAGTTTTCCCCTCAAATGGCAGCCATTTGAGGGGAAAACTCTTTGTTTTCCCCTCAAATGGCGTGGCCCCGCCCCCAGCGTGCGACGTCACTTCCGGTGACGCGCACGCCGGGGAGGGGTTTCCCCCGGGCCCCGATTCCCCGACGTCGGGGAACGGAGCCTCCGGGGCGGGGTAATTCCGCCCTACCGGGGGAGTTGGCAGCCCTACCCAGGGGTGTCAAACTCATTTGTTACGAGGGCCGGATCTGACTTTGTTGGGCTGGGTCATGTGTGCCATAAAATGTAATGCCAGGTACCAGTGATAGAAAGTGTATAAAAGCCAGCAGCTGGTAAGGTCCAAGTTGGTGTATCCTCACTGCAAGGCCCTATGGGCTGGGAGGGGGGGTGCAGAGGAAAACCCACATAAGCGGACTGGAGAGGCAGCAGTGCAATGCTGGGCAGATGCTCCCACGATGTTTGACTGCTGCAGATGAGGTTGTTCTGCTGTGCTGAAGCTATAATGAAGTGGCTCTGCCCACTCCCCCCCCAGCACTTCCTCCGTTGCATTAGTTGCTTGCGGGCCGCATAAGAGCTCTGGACGGGCCTTATGTTTGACACCCCTGATCTATCCTCTTCATCAGCCGCCCCTACTGCTTGGCTGTATTGCCTGCTTTTCCTAAGGCACTTCTGCTTGTGAGAGGGAGCCTCGCCCTCTGCTGAGGAAGATCTGGGGGAGGGGGAACTCCCTCTGCACTCCCGCTGTCTCCGGCAGCATTTCTTGTCCGCCTGCTCCTGCCCTTCCCCTGGCCCCATGCTGTCCCCTGCTCTGGGTGACTGGATCTTGGGAAGCCTGAGTCGTGGGAGGGCGGGATGAAAGCGGGGTATCCATGCCATTCTCCAGGCCTATAGATACCATTCCGCTGAGGCAGAACCAAATCACACTGGCCCAATTACAAATGTGCTAATATCAGGATGGGGTTTTCTGTCTGTATGTTTTAATTGTCCAGCAGTATATGTTCTTTTACTGATCTCTTTTTGGAACCTACTAAAAATCAGCTACTGGCTTTCAGTCAGAATAGATTTTAGCCAAATCATTTCTTCTATCCCAAGATCCTTTGGCTGTAAATATTCTTTATTGGTTTATTGTCCTACAGCTTCTTGTCTCTTATATTATATTAAATGTTGCCCTTCTAAGAACCTTTCAGATATCGTGGCCAATCAGGGACGTGTGAAGCACATGCAGTCGGTGAAGGAAGGGAAGTACCACCCACTGTGCCGCACTGAGCTGATGATAAGGATTGAGCGACAGAAGCTGGAAACCCGACTACACGCCATTAACGTTATCATCCATCAAATCCTGCAGGAGTTTCCTCAGCACCACAAGTTGGTGCAAAGGCTCAGCCGAGTCCTGCATTCCAGGCTGGGTACACAAACATCAGTGTAGCAGAGGGCAGGGAACCAGAACTGAAACGTTCTCATTTTGGAAATGTTACAAATAAAAATATATTTGAGAATGACTGCAAGACTATTGTTCCGTGTCTGGCATGGGGAGATGTATAAAAAGAAAGAAAAGTCTGGCCCCAGGGTGTCAGTGGATTTGAACAGAAGTGGGTCATTGGTGAATTTTCATCTCTGACTTTTCCTTTAAGCAAGTAGCAAGCCTCCTACTTGTTTGTTGATTTATAATACAAGAAGAGTCATTGATCTCAGGGCTCAGCTGAGTTTTGAATTCTTGTGGCCTTTCGGAGAGGGATGTTGGAATCATTTGTCACAGATTGTAATAATAAGACCCATTTTCTGAGACAGTTCGCATTTTGTTTTAGGTGTTAGTATTGTGTAGTTCCTCATTAACATAGGTGAGGTTTCCCACTACATGTTGTGTACAAAGAGGCTGTTCACAGTTGCATGTGTTGTTCATTTTTGTCTGATGCTGTCAGCATCTTATTACCCCCATAAACCCCCAAAACTATTGATAGTGAAAGGAGTGATAGAGAATTCAGTATGGCATAGTGCTGCTGCTTAGTCCTTAAGAGTGAACAGCCCTTAGCAGGTCACGTTATCAGAATGACAAGATAACTATTATTAACCTTCCCACTTTGTATCAAGGGTCAATTTCTTTTTTCTTTTTGTTTTTTGTATTTTTCATATGTTCGTGTGTGCGTGTGACTGTGTGTGTGCACACCTGGAAATCATGGCGACCTTTGGTGACTGGAGGTGACTAGGGGCCTGGAGGATATTCAGAGAGGTGGCTGAATAAAGTCTGCCCCTGCCTCCCAACTGCTGGTATTCCAAGGTTGTCTCCCATTCAAGTACTTGCCAGAGTCGACCCTGCTTAGCTTCCGAGATTGGGTTTACCTGGGCTATCCAGGTCAGGGCGTATCAAGGGTCAGTTTCATCTAAAATGTGTTATTCCGAATTTAAACAGACCCAGTTTTAATTGGCAGGAATTGGTTTTTGTTCTTTTTATCCGTTTGTTTTTAAAAATCTCTGTATTGTGTCCTTTGAAGATGCAGCATTTGGGGAAGCTAAACAGGCGATGCTTGTCCTTGCATTAAACCATCTGAGCAACGGGATGTGCTAGTGAAAACTCCGATTATCCCTATAGCTCCTCTTGCCTACAGTGTTTTGAAAATGTTTGACTAAATCAAAGTATCAGAACTGGAAAGAGTTTCCCCAGTACAGCGGAGTATTAGCTTGTCATTTCAGAACACTCATCAAAACCCAATCTATTTGTTTCCTGGTTTGTATGTATTGTGTCTGTGTCTAACTTACAGAAAAGGCAAGCACAATACCCATATGCATTTTCCCCGGGAACCTCATTTGGGCTGGGATCTCTTTGTACACAAGGGTTTAAAGAGATATGTACATTTATGTGGGTTATTCACACTTAACATGTTTGTTGCAGGTATGTACACTGGTGTACATGTAGCAAAAACAGTTGCCATATAAAATGTGGTCAGAGTGGTGGCTGATCTTCAACACTTGTTTCCAATCACAAGGTTCAGCTCAGGAACATGTGGAATAAGTGTCCCTGAGCATGTGCAGAGTGCATAAGTTTCAGGAAAGTTTGAGCCCTGACTGTTTCCATTTTGAAAGTAAATATTATGGCAATATTAATTCAACTGCACATCTGAAGGATAACTGAAAACAAAATTAATGACTGGTCACCCCTTCCCCGATCACTGCTAACACTATACTTCTATAGCACCCAAAAAAATGAAGTAGCTACAAATTTCTCAGCACCTATGATTTTTCTCATATAGTTCTACTTTAGTTTGATTTTGGGGGGAAAATCATTGGGCAGATGTAGTGTAAGTAATATCTTTAATATATCATGGTCAAGTTCTGCAAAAGCGCAAGTTAAAACAAACATGTTATTTCTTTGTTCACCAGAATTGCAGTTTGTTTCCGTGCCTGTATAAGCTCTACACAAGCAGGCTTCAAAAGACAATAAGTGTAGGAAATGGAAGAGTCTAGAGTAATAGCATTGATTTTTTTATGTATTTCATTAACTGTGTCAAAACCAGTTCAAAATCTATAGAGATGAGAAGCACATTCTGCCATGTTGGTGTTTTCCACACAAGGACAGGCTTGTGTTGTTTCTCCACTGCTGCTGTGAGTACCAATACAATGCAGTGGAAATGGGGTTTCTATGTGGCAGGTTTCCTCATAGTTTAACCTGCCCCAGTCCCCTGACAGTAGCCACTCCCCCCACCACACACACCAGGGTTTTTCAGGTTTTTTTAATTGGCAGCTGAATACCATTATAATGATATAACAATCTATGTATAAAGGTCTATGAATCCCCAGCTTTCATTTTTTAAGTCTCCAGCCCCTTTTTGTTGTTGAGATATGCCCTTCTCCTTGTATCTCCACAGTGAAAGGGGCTAGAGAGCCTTTAGAAAAATGAAAACTGGAAATTCAGAACACTGGATACACATGTCATTGTATCAATATAATTATATTAAATTATTAATTAAAAAACAAAACCCTGATGCCAATGGCAGGAAATGGCTGCTGCAGCAACAGAGGCAGTGAAAATGGCTACCGATATGTATAGGACTGAGAAAAATTGGACTTTCTCATATAGGCTTTGCTCTAATCTTTTCCTCAGACTTTGCTTTAAAGCAGGTTTGGGAAGGATCAGAAAAAATGGTAAAATGTGTGCCCTGCTGTGGGAGGGAGGAAACTGCTTCACATCAGCATTGAGCCCAGAGCAAATACCCTGTGTGAAAACAGCCAATACGGTACACTGGCAAGATCAATTTTGGAATAATGCTTCTGATACTACTCAAGTGAAAAGGTTTCATTGGAATGCATAATCCTTGCTATCTGTGTGCTTATTTGTTATAGTTTTATCCGGCTTTTGAGCCTAAAATTGGCTTCTAAAGCAGCTCACAGGAATAAAAACCCAATATAAATGACAATTAAATTCTATATAAATGTTCCTCAGGGTGTCGAGTCAGAATCAGCTCAACTGGATTCAGGCATGATGAAGGCCTGGTTGGCAGCTTCCTGCCCTCCCTCTTTTTCAGCAGTTCAATTCACAGAATCATCTGAGAGTAAGAAGTATAACCCATCTCAGCAAAGGATCTTCCCTTGTAGGTATATCTAGCAATAGTTCCCAGACATAGACACAATTTGAATGCAATGCTCTGTGTAGCAACTGGTTTATCACAGCTTGAAGAAAGTTCTACTGCTTGGATTTTATGTGGTCCAAGCAGCAGCCATCCAAGTCAGCAAGCTGCTGTAACAGGATAAGTCCTTTCTGTTCAGCCTGTACAGGAGTACTTAGGCTTAAAATGAAACTTGCAGGCACATTTGAAAAGGGAAGTTTATGATTTATATATGGAAGTGCCCATCGCAACTGACTTAAAACTGATGCATTTTGCACCCAGGGATTCCTAAGTACCATAGGTGTTGTATAAAGCAGCCTTTGTTGTACTAGGAAACATACATGTCCTTTCGAAGATACACAAACTCTTTGACTATGTCCCAGCTGCCTTTGTCCTTTAGATGCAAACCAGTAGTAGATAGCAGCCAGCATACAAAAATAGCAAAGGGCAGGATGACTAGAATATTTAGCTAATGTTCTCATTCTTTTACAGAGACTGGCTAGAAAAACAGCTGTGGTAATTTTATAGAGCTCTTTATAATGTTTCTACCCTAAAGCTACAAAAGGAGGCAGAGTGTAGGGTAGCCAAGTGACAATGCCTGGGTTCAAATACCCCTCTGCCATCAAATTCAGCGGATGGCCTTGGACCAATCACTCTCATTTCAGCTCTGGTTTGTTGTGAGAGCAAGCAACAAGTGGAAATCATGGTTGTTACATATACTGCTGCCATCTGGACAATAATTCCAGATGGGAAGCCATGTTAGTTTGTAGAAGCAACAAATGTAGACAGAGCTCTTCATCAGACACATCGTTGGAGGCAGGGCACAATTTAAAATGTCTAGATTACTACCATTGCTCTTTCAGAATATATTTTTCAGTTGCAAATTAGACTACTGTCCAGTGTTCCCTCTAAGATGAGTTAATGTGAGCTAGCTCACAGTTTTTTAGCCTCTGGCTCACACATTTTGGTCTCAGCTCAGGAAGGATGGCCCCAGAGCAAACTGATTTATGCAGTAGCGAAATCGCTCGTTCACAACTTTTACGCCAGTAGCTCACAAAGTAGAATTTTTGCTCACCAGACTCCACAGCTTAGAGGGAACATTGCTACTGTCTAGCAGAGAATATCCTGGTTGGTTTTTAATCTGGTTTAGTTTTTGCTGGGTGATTGCACTGATTCAATTTATATTTAGCTGACTACAAATATATTAGAAGAGATATCTTTTCTTGGAAAGGTAACAACGCCACCTGAAATGTGTTGGGAAGGATCTTTTCTATGGTGCAATGTTACAGCAGCGCCTAAAATAATATTACTCAAATTTAGCGGAAGAGTCCAGCAGATTAACATGGTAAATTAGAGTCATTTAGACAACCCGCCTGTGCCCTTTGCTGCCGTTTTCATGTGTTCGAAACACCGGTATCGCTCGGGTCCCCAGACCGACAAAAAAATAGCAGAGGCTCCGTACCTGACTATTCATCACTGCCTCCATTCACACAACCCGTAAAACCCCCTTCCTACGCTCCCCACCCCGTACACCTCGCTTTAGAGGCTTGTAATAGAACAGAGGGCAAGTCACATGACTGGTTGGTCATGTGATCGTTCCGGAATTTTGGACTTGACTGTTCGTGGTGGTTGCAGGAGGAGGTGAGTACAGATATCGACAGAGTGTCTCGTAGTGACATAAAGGATGGCGGCTGTTTTTAGGCTCACTTCCGCAGGAGAGAGTGTTGGATTTCCTGCTCTGGAAAGCCGATCCTAACATTTTCCTTATGAGGGTAGGAAATGTGAGTTTCCCAGGATTACGGACTTTTTCTTTTTGGGAAGGGCTTCTGTACCTTTAACGGCCGCCCGACAGACAGAAATTCAAAAGATTAAAATTTTCTTATTATCCCTTTTGAGACAGCTTGCACCTGCTGGTTTTCTGCCAGTCTGCCGAATTTACTTGAAATGCTTATAATGCTCCGCTTTTCCTCCGGTTCTAAAAGGCACCGAGCCACCCCCCCCAGGGGGTGGTGACCGAGCTCCGCCGGAAAAACACATGGCAGGCTCAGGATTCGAAACTAATTATGTTGCAAGTAGAATAAGCGCCGCCGCCGCCTTTTCTCCAGAGCGGAGAAAGCGGAAGCAGAGAGCAAAGAACTTACTGAGGCTAACTTAGAAAAGTGTTTCATTCTAATATAAATTCATATTTTGGGGACAGCCGAATAAATCCGAAAATACTGGGCGCCCCCACAGTATCTTTCAAGGTGCTTTAACAGGGACAACTAAATGATGGGGAGCGGTGTTAGGTGAATTCTGGGTATTATGTATGGCTGACGTGTTGAGTCCTGATCGCAGAAGAAAAAAAACATAATTGGTGAGAATATGCAGCCCTGTCATGACAACAGGGCCCTGGGGAATGCCTGCTGGTGGATTTTTTGAGTTGTTTGTAGAGAGAAAAAAGGCTGAAGATGGTTTCCAGTTCCTGCTTCCTTATTTGATAAATCCTTGTGTAAATATGAATGATGTTGGCAATCTTTGTATCCCAAAGTAAGCTTTGGACCAGCACAAATCATACATTTCCAATGTTCAGGTGACTGTACCCTATGAAGGGACTGGGGGCCTATTCTGTTCCCTGATCTAAAGCCTTGTATTATTATTATTTTTGCTACTGCTTCGGGGGGGGGGGTGGAATGCCCCCCAGAAAAATGAAGAAACTGCGGGCAAAGTAAGCTTTGGACCACCCTAAACCATACATGACCGAGACTTTGGGCTGTGCCTCACAAGATGACACACACTGGTCCAAAGCCTGGTTTTGTCACCAAGAGCTTTCAATTGGGTTGTCTGTAGGAAGCCTATATTATTATACTGCTAAGATGCAATGGATGAGCAGTAAGGGTTTCAATTTCTGGGGCTGTATTTTTGAGGGGGCAGAAGGGGGGGTAGCTGTCCCTGTTACTTGTCCAGGACACCTTAGAGGCTGCTGGGAGCACCCAACTTTCAGGGCGTGGAGCTGGAATCCAGACTTTGGACTGGAGTACTGTCTGCATCCTCTTACAGGATACTGTCCCCAGAATCTGTGGGTGTATGATTTGGGATGCCCCAAAGTTTATTTTGGAGTGTAGCTGTGTCCAGTTTCTTAATCTTCATTTCTCCTGGAGGCACCCCATTTTGGAGCAGTTAGCACAGAAACCAGGCTTTCAACCAAGGAACAGTGTATATCTCCATGGAGGACAGAGTCTCCTGAATGCGGGGTAGTATGATTTTTGGTGATCTAAAGTTTATTATGGGGTGTGGAACTTTTAAAGTCTTATCAGTATTTGTGGTTGGACTCAGAAATAAGGCACTAGGAGATGCAGATAAGGAACAGAGAACCAGTTTCAGCCTCATGAGTATTTGTGCCTTATGTGTCTACTTCTGCCTTTCGTTTGCAGCTGGCTGCATAGATCAATCCTGCACCTGTTGAGGAGTGCACACCTGTCCTCTCCTTGCTGGCTGCAATGACAGTGACTGGGAAGACTGAGCAGAAGAGGCTCTGCATGATCTTGAAGGTGTTGGCTCTTGCAGCAGCAGTTACTGTGCTCAGTGTATATGGAGTCCATGATGTTGCTTTGGCAGTCGTCATGAGCCCTGCAACTGTTTCCCAGGCATGGGATGTCTACAGGGGTGAGAACAAAGGCAGAGAGGAAGCGACGCAAGAACTTACATTTGTAGAGCAGCCAGAATCCTCCAAAGTCTCTGTCTTGCAGCCTACAGCCTGTGACATCCCTCCAGACAGGCGCTTTGATTGTGCCCCAGAAAAGCTGATCTCTCAAGAAGAATGTCAGGCTCGGGGCTGCTGTTACGTCCCTGTCTCTTGCCTGGATTCTGCCAATGGGAAGCCATGGTGCTTTTTCCCTCTCAGCTACCCTAGTTACAGGATGAAGAATCTGACTGCTACTGAAACTGGCTATACTGCCCAGTTGACCCGTGATGCACCCACCTTTTTCCCAGATAATATTATGAACTTGCAACTGGATGTGATGTTTGAGACAGAGGGTAGGCTGCGCTTCTCAGTGCGTATTTTATTTATTTATTTTACTCCTTTTATTTTATAGCCCACCTTCCTCCCCTGTGGGTATCCAAAGCAGCTTACATTGTTCTCCTTGTCTTCCATTTTATCCTCACAGCACCCGTGTGAGGTAGGTTAGGCTCTGTGTGTGTGTGTGTCACCCAGCATGTTTCCATGGCGCAGTGGGGATTTGGACCTGAGTGTCCCAGACCCTAATCCAACTAGGGACTCTGCCTCAGAAACAATGACACCAAGACAGTCTGTAGTTCTGCTGTAGAGCAGGCATGCTTTCTAAAGAAGTATGACTTAGATAGGTTGTGAAGTTCAGCTTTAATTGGCATAGAACAGGGTGTTGCATGGCCATAGCAATAAATGTTGCGAGCCTGGGCAGGAGAAAGTCCCACTGATCTCGCTTCCAGGGAATTTATTTATTTATTTTGTTCGGCTTCTATCCCACCCTTCCCGCAAGTGGGCTCAGGGCGGGTAACAACTATAGAACAACATCCGTACAATTTAAACAGATCATATAAAGAACAGTAGCTAAAACGCTTAAAACAGGAATGTCATCTAGTTGGCAACAATTCATAAGTCCCGCAGCATTAAAAAACAACAACAGAGAGAGGGCGTGCTGGCCGAATGTGCAGCGTTAACTCTTTCACGTGGACAGATTACAGCAGGCCGGTTTTCAGCAGGGAAGACCAGAATAATTGGGCAACCGCCACCTCAGCCAAAGGCCTGGTGGAACAGCTCCGTTTTACAGGCCCTGCGAAACTGTAACAAGTCCTGCAGGGCCCTGATCTCAGGTGGGAGCATCTTCCACCAGGCCAGGGCAGAAAAAGCCCTAGCCCTGGTCGAGGCTAAATGATGGTCTGCCAAGCGCAAGGCTCCCTGGGGCTCATATGGGGAGAGACGGTCCCTTAGATATGTTGCTCCCAAGCCGCACAGGGCTTTGAAGGTCAGCACCAACGCCTTGAAACGGATCCGGTACTCAGTTGGTTGTCAGTGCAATTGGCGTAGCACCAGCTGAATGTGCGCCTGCACAGAAGTCCCAAGTCAGCAGGTGCGCCACCTCATTTTGCACTAGCGGGAGCTTCTGCGTCAATTCCAAGCCCGCGTACTGTGAGTTACAGTAATCTAGCCTGGAAGCAGAACAAATTTAGAGTCCCGTAGCACCTTGAAGACCAATGAAGGTTTATTCAAAATATGAGAGCCAGTTTGGTGTAGTGGTTAAGTGTGCAGACTCTAATCTGGGAGAACCGGGTTTGATTCCCCACTCCTCCACTTGCACCTGCTGATGTGACCTTGGGTCAGTCACAAGCTCTGGCACAGCTGTCCTTGAAAAATGAGCAGTTTGTATCAGAGTTCTCTCATCCCCACCCACCCCACAGGGTGTCTGTTGTGGGGAGGGGAAAAGAAAGGAGTTTGTAAGCCGCTCTGAGACACCTTTGGGTAGCGAAGGGCGGGGTATAAATCCAATCTCTTCTTCTTCTTCTTCACATGCACACAAAAGCTCATACCTTGAATAAACCTTTGTTGGTCTTAAAGGTGCTGCTGGACTCTAAATTTGTTCCACTGCTTCAGACCAACATGACTGACCACCTGGAACTAGCCTGGAAGTGACCATTGTGTAGGTCACTGTAGCCAAGTCCTGGGGGAAGAGATAGGGAACCAGTTGCCTGATCTGCCGAAGAGGATAAAAGGCCGACCTGACAACAGTGTTGACCTGGGCCTTTATAGAGAGCGAAGCATCCAGGATCACCCTTAAACTCCTTACCCTCAGTGCTGGCTCCAGTGGTGCCCCATCCAAGGCCGGGAGCCTGATTGCCACTCCTACCCCCCCCCCCCGGCTCAGGTACAGGACCTCCATCTTGGTTGGATTCAGTTTCAGACGGCTCTGCTGCAACCACCCAGCCCTGTCCAAAATATCTGGGGTGGAATCTGGGCGGCCGTCCATCAGCAAATGCAGCTGTGTGTGTAGGGTTAGGATGCAGGCACAAGCATGCTGTATAGCAAGCCTTGTTTGCCCTTCTGCGCCACACATTCTTAAACAACATTTTTCCTTGAGTTGGGAGAGGGGGGCATCTATTAGTCCACAAAAATACTTTGAGCTGCATTGGCTCAAGTATCTTTGATCCTAGCTATGATAAGGATCTCCTACTTTGAGGGATTTTCTGTCTAGGTCCTGAGTCCATGGCAGACTGATTTGAGTTCTCTGATGTATAGCATCTGTATTGGTGAGCCACGAACATCTTTGTAGACCCCATCTGACTCTCAAATTCTCCAACTCCCCCCCCCCCCCCCCCCCAATAGCTAGCAATCCAAAACAGTCCAGTGTCATCACAGCTTAAAGATCCAGCCAACAAGCGCTTTGAAGTCCCTTTGGAAACTCCCCAGATAAGCATCAAGGCATCCTCAACTCTCTACTCTGTTCAGTTCTCTGCTGATCCCTTTGGCCTTGTTGTTGTTCGGAAATCCAGTGGGCAAGTACTGTAAGTGGCTCTGATTTCCTGTAGCCAAATGCTCTTGACGTCTGGAGTATTGGTCTGAGCAAGGTGTATGAAGATCTAGAGTGAGAATGTCTGGAGCTGAAGCATTTGCCTCATCAGAGCCTTATGCATCTTTCTAATGTGTTCCAGATGCATAAGGATCATTCCACACGTTACATGCCAGTGAATCCAAATTCATGTCAAGTCCTGGACTCAATCACTCTCACAACACACATTTTTTTTAAATAACTTTATTGGTTTTCCCAGAACAGAAAAAAGAAAAAGAACATAAATACTTGTTACAACGAAGTGCTACAACAAACAGTAATGTCTCTTCACATACATCTCATATTTAGCATAACCAAACCATCCATCAACCCATTAACTCTTTTCCTCAAAATTACATAGTATTTCTATATAAGTAACCCACTATTATAAACAGCCAGCTTTCTAATGCTCACACATTTTTCAGATAAAATAAATGGCCTTATTAGTTTTCTTCTTAATTACTTAGTATTTATTTTATCACTAGGCATGTTGACTTTTCTCCTATATCTTGTCTATAACACTTCACATGTTTCAAGCGCGCAAACAACTTTAGCAGCCATATGAATTTTTCAAAAAAGAAGGTATCACCTTAATTTCTGGTCAAACTACTTGTCCTGATTTTTATAGGTTTCAAACCAATAGATTCAACTTCCTTTCTCCTTCCTTTAAAGTACTATCATTTCAAAAACTATCCTGTCTAAGATGTACCTTGTTTTCTTAGTATCTTACCATCATATCCCAATAAGCACCTTTCCAAACAAGCTTAACTGGGTAAATTGGCTCAATTCCCCAATCCTGTGGTAATTTTTTAAAGTTACATGGTATTTCTATAACAGCAAAATAAACTTTCCTCTCCTTGTTAATATCCCGTCATATAGCTCACACAGCAAAATAACTTTTTTGATATTAAATGATAGTAGTTTAAAGAAAAGAGAAAGGAATCTGCATCTATCTGCTTAAAATTCATAAAAATTAGGGTTGATTGTTAAACTACTATCATTTCTGAGAGTACTTTACCAGGAATTTATCTTATTTTCTTAGTATCCTACCATCATAACCCAATACACACCTTTTCAAAACTACATCATACTTAAATGGGTGTATTTCCTCAGTTCTCAAATCCTATAAGGGTTTTCCTTAATATTACCTAATACTTCTGTAACAGTACAGTATGTTTTCCTTTCTGCATCAAAATTTCAGCACATAGTTCCCACATTAAAGTAAACTTTAACAATCAACTGAATATTAATACATTTCAACCTTAAGTCTCCTTCCTTAGTAACCTGTTTCCATCACGCCCTACATATATTAGACAAGAAGAAGGGGTCATTCTATCACATAGTACACACCGTTGATTTATTATCTGGAGCAGCTTCTTCTTGACAATTGAAGTGAAGTGTCTTATTTCTTTATATTCAGAGTATTTAGCTTTCAAATTTTGCCTTTTTCTTTCTGCCAGTTTTCGATTTTTGGTGTTCCTTTTCCCTGATGAATGCCTCGCACTAGCTTTAATTGGCTTCTCTGTTTCTTGGTAGCGTTTTTTCTGCACATTCTTTTTTAATGATCCTTTCAACACAGCTTGCTTCCTAACATCGAGATTTGGACTGGAGAGCTTTTCCACTTTACCCCTCAATATAGGCAAAATATCTTGAGTCTTCTTTTCTAAGCTATAGTCTTGTTCATTCTCAAAACTTTTCCAAGCTTCGCTGATAGCACAGGGGCTCCTCCTCAGTTTCACTTTCCAAGTCTGCATTCTGAAACTTCTTTAAAAAGTTCTTACATGCTTCTTCGGCTGCCTGGCGTATCCCATCAATCAAATACCTTTTAAATTGCTCCAAAGTCAAATGTCTTTTTTCTGTGTTTCCTAAATCTATTTCTACAATTTCTACTGTTGAGGTTTCTCCATTTTCCCCAACCGTCACCATTTCACTTCTTTTACTCTAATTCCTTTCCAAGCCACAGATACCTTCTAAAATTAGAGATACTTCTGAGGGGATCAGTCAGTATAGGTTTTCGTCAATTCCAAAGAGAGTATATGTGTACTCACGCTTCTGTCTTCGTTGTATATTGCCTTATGAAATCAAAAGTTTAAAACGGGCGTTCACAGCTTCGGCAGCATGGTGGACCATGCTGTTCCACTCCCCGCTCCTGCGTCGAAACAGATTGATTTCGGGGGGCCCACCGCCGTTGGGTCGCTCCATCAAGTGTCTTGTAACCCAACCTCCCTCCAGGGGTCGGGCAAAGCCCCCAACTGTCTCTAGGAACCAGGGGGCTCCAAAGGAGGCGAAAAGGTCGGGGCTGTTCAAGAGCAAGCCGAAAAGACACCTGAGACGCTGTGCCACTGCCCGGAAGTCACAACACTCTTGTTACAGCAAGATTTGTTTATTTGGAGGTAAAGAGATTCCAAGCATAGACCGATTCTGTGTCAGTACTGGCCACCGGATGCCAGGTCCGACCCTATACAAAAAGCAGGACAGCCCCTCTATGCAAACCACCCAATCAGTGTTCACACTCAGCCTGCCAAAGCTGTAGGCCAACCCTCTGGGCCAGCCCAACACCTGCAAACTAAGTTACATCCCAAGGTCAGGCAAGAAGCTGAGATCATGCACTTCCCAGGGTCCCGTACATACTAGGCAAGCTCAAGCACACATTCACCCCTGCATTCACTCCCCCCCCCCCCCCCCTCCTGAAAGAGAAGATAAACGGCATGGTGGGAGATAAAACAGTAAAAGAAGCATGTTTGAGAAAGCAGTTAACCCCTAACTGTCCAGGAGTTCGCCTGGACAGCATTCTAAGGCAAGTGAGGCCCGAGCTTGACAATTCATGCCTGAGTATACACCAGGCAGGGAGCTGTTGGCAGTACTGGCTGTCTAAGGATCCATATGGTGCACAGTTCCAAACATGTACTTGTCTCATTCACATATTCTGTTTTTGAACATAGTTTAAATATCCTAGATGTAGATTGTAAAAATATAAGAAGTGGAGCAGCGTCCAGTACTCAAGGTTTTAGCCTGTCATTCTGAACATCCCATGTTTTATCATGGGCCGTAATTATAACTGAACTAAGGTGTTTACTCCTTTTGGCTTTCTTTGTCCCACCAGCAGTATGAACTGAATAGTGCTTTTCTACACCCATTTTGTGTGCGGCAAAATCAAAAGCTGCCCACAGACGTGCCTTCTCCGTTGGGGCCCCCGCCTTATGGAGTGGCCTGCCCGAGGCTCCCACTCTCCTGGCTTTCCACAAACTATGCAGATGGAACTTTTCAAGAGGGCTTTTCTACACAGGTGATAGGGTTGCCCTGTACAAAATGATTCACAAAATTATTTGGATAAATGATTAAGGACTGTGGTCTATACTACTATGTATAGCTTGCTGTAAATGGGATCCAACTATGTAATTTTTGCATCCTTTTATGTGTCATGTTAATACTTTGCTTCAGTTCTGGTTTTAGATTTCTGATTCTTCCACAGCCCTAATCCTAATTCTAATTCTTCCACAGCCTACATTATTTATTGAATGTCCCATTGGATTGATGGTATTGACTCACTCTGTGTAAACCGCCTTGAGTCCAAGTGAAAAGGGCGGGCTATAAATAGCATAAACCTAAATAAATAAAGCTGCACATTCAGAGGCATAGTAGAGATATGGCAACTGGAGATGTATGTAAGGGCATAGACCTCTTTTCACAACTTCAGATTCAGGGTGTCCTTTCTCTTTGGACGTGTATAATTAATTTAAATGATCAATTGTCACATATGATAACCCAAATGGGAGGCTGACCAATAGGAGCCATATAGTCCAATCACACATTCAACTGACCTACAGAAAGAAACATCTTGTGTATAGACTTCTGGAGATTGGTTCGGAGAGCAGAGAAGGGTAAGGGGTATAAAATGATTAATTCCTGTGCCCCCATCCAAAAACCACCATTTGCTCGGGGCCACGGTGTTCCAGTGCCAGCTGCTAACCTTAAATCTTTGGTCAAAGTAGATGGGACATGGTTGATAATTGGGTTCCCATTCTAAGCCTTTATGCTATAAAGGATGTATGGATTTACGCAAGGAGAACTTGGGGGCAGGTGCCTTATCATTTAAAAAAATGTTCTGCCATGTTGTGAAGTAGCAATCTGTAGCATTTAGGTGTACTGTTAAGTGGATGTTTCTGTTCCTCTGCTTGTAATTATTTCTGAGGCCCCTTTCATTGATTTCTACCAGACTGTAGAAGCTGTTTCACTGTGGTCCTATGCTACCCAGATGTGGGTGTGTGTGGATTACTTGGGTCTTTCCATCTAGTGGCTCCATCTATCCTGCCCAAATGTATCCGTCGTGTAAGAGAGCATTACAGGGAACCAGCATCCAAATGATAGTGTGAAGGAGGTCTGAAGGCTGCCGAGTAATGGTGTGTATGACTGGGTGCTGCAGATAACCATTTCCTCACATGGTAAAATTTTAAATTATTAACCCATAACTGCCAGTCATGCAAACCCATCTTTGAAGTGTCCAGAGGTTCCTACACAATGATTGCAGTTTGTTTGCTGGGATTGTCTACTTTCTTCCCAACAGACTCAATACCACAGTGGCTCCCTTGTTCTATGCTGACCAGTTCCTGCAGATCTCGACCTCCCTGCCATCAGGTTTCATCTCTGGACTGGGCGAGCATTTGACTTCACTCATCCTTAATGTCAGTTGGACCAAAGTCACCCTCTGGAATCGGGACATGCCACCTGCGGTAAGGGGTAGAAAATAATAGTGTGGTGCACTGCCTTTTCTAGAAGGGCTGTGGCTCCTAGGTGCTCTCTTCACCAGCTTATCCATCTGCCAAAGACTGAACTGTCGTGAAATCAACAGAGACCAATACTATTGCCTGATTTCAAAGGACATATTCCATGTTGTGCCAAACACTGGCCTGCCTGCCACAGAACTAATCTATTTTTTTTAAATTTCCAAAGCTTATATCCTGAGTTTCTGCCCTTACCTACCCAAGTTTAAATCTATAGAAGTTTTATGCCTTGTAAACGAAGCATCTGCCAATCATATGTGTGATTCTTACTTCCCTATCCATTTCACCAGGTATTGTAGAGAAAGTGTTAGGGTGCTTTTCATAATGATCTCTAGACATTCTTGTGCTCCTCTTCAAGCAAGATTGACTTAGAAGCTGCTGTGGGAGAGAAGAGCATAGGGGATCTTAGAGGATTCCCCCACCCCATCTTTAACCCTTTAAGCTGTGCTCTGGTCTACCCCTCAGTTTAGCCTTTAAATGGGGATGTTGAGAAGTATTAATAAGAAACAAGTATCACCCTGAAGCAATAGAATAGTGGCTTTCAGTCCTCTAGTTATGCTTCCCTTGCTATAAAAGAATACCCCTGAGTTATGAACAGCTGACCTTTTGTGCTCACACTTGATGAATAAAGGCAAGGACATTGCCATTTAAAGATATCCTGTTCTGGAACCAGTCTGAAGAGTCTGTGTGTGTGTGTGTGTGTGTGTTTTGGTATTTAAGTAAAGGGAAGGGTATGAATGCCCTGACCTCAATAGCCCAGGCATGCCCAATCTCGTCAGATCTTGGAAGCTAAGCAGAGTTGGCCCTGGTCAGTATTTGGATGGGAGACCACCAAGGAATACCAGGGTTGTGATGCAGAGATGGGCCATGGCAAACCACCTCTGAACGTCTCTTACCTTGAAAACCCTATGGGGCTGCCATAAGTCAGCTGTGACTTGACAGCAAAAAAAGGGAGGTATGACTACTTCTCTGGACATAATCGTGCCTCTTAGTTGCGGGCACAGCTTTGTCCTCCCCTGCTATTAAAATCCAGCACCTCCTCTCCACTCGCCTCTGTTACCATATCACCAACTGTGTTTTTGACATATCCTTTTTCGTGGGAAAATCAGAAAAGGTTAAAAAAAAAAGCCTTACTGCCAGGGCTATTTTTGGGCAGGAACGCCCAGGAACGAAGTTCCGGCTGGCTCCTGAGTTGGCCACGCCCAACAGCAGAAACTCATTGGAATTGGCTACATTAGGGGGGGGGTGGCCTAACATGCAAAGGAGTTCCTGCTACAAAAAAAAACCCCTGGGTTTTGACAACAAACAAGGTAAACAGAATAAGAAGCAAAAGGTGGGTGTGGCTGGATGACCACACTTCTGGTAACATGGGGGTATGGCCTAATATGCTAATGAGCTGTACTATCAGGGGTGTGGCCTAATATGCTAATGAGTTTCTGCTGTTGGGTGTGGCCTATTATGCTAATGAGTTCCTGGTTGGCTTTTTCTACAAAAAAAGCCCTGATTACTGCAGTGCACCTACTTAGCAAAATGCTTTTCTGGAGTTCAGCCTGTGTGTGGATTGCAACATCTCAGCTGTCTTCTGAGGGATGGTGCTGTCACCACTTGACCGTGTCTCCCCATTGTCGTCCACTTGCAGCTATTTAATGTTTGTTTCTACTTGGTGAGCCCCGACTCATCGCCTCAAAAAGCACCTAACAGCAAGGGAGGGCATAGTGACCAGCCCCTTCACTGGATGTTTTATGTTTCTCTCTACATATCCATCCCACAGGCTTAAACTGATTTATTAGTCATTCCTGTCTTGCCAGAGAACTCTGGGCGTTACAGTTCTGTGAGGAGATCTAGGGATCTCTAGCAGAGAATCCTCAACACCCTCAACAAACTACCATTTCCAAGATTCTTTGGCAAAGCATGACGGACTGGTATACTTTTAATGAAGGTTTGTAGTGTTGATAGGGCATCTGGGTATGACTCTGAGGAATGGTGATGGTCAAATTGTTTTCTGAATTCAACTGCGGATGAGATGACATTTGAAAGTTTTCTCCCAATTATTGAAAACAGGATACCATGTTGGGAGAATCATTCATATTCTCTGGTTTGGCAATGAGATTCTTTATTACTCAGCATATCCCAAGCATGGATCCATTACTGTAGTCTTCTTCCTAATTATACTGTGCTTGAGTGTGTAATATGGCCTTGACTCTGCATATTCTTTCTGTCTTTTCAGCCCTCTGCAAACCTATACGGCTCGCACCCTTTCTACCTGGTGCTGGAAGAGGGTGGTTTGGCCCATGGAGTCTTTTTGCTGAACAGCAATGCCATGGGTAGGTGTGTCAGGGTTCTCTGTTCCCTTATGTGCAAAGCCTACATGAATGTAATACAATATCTTAGCATCAGGCAAGCACACACTCCAGCAATAAGCACACTGTACTCTAAACTGAAGTTGGATTCTTTGCTGTTATGACACAGATTCTGTCTTCAGAACACAAACTACTTTAAATGGGCATTGTTCCTGAAAACCCTTTAAACACTGTAGAGGAATCTTTTTTATATACATTAAGAGGTTAAAAATAGCATACATTCCATGAGAGAGAGGGAGTGAGAGTATTTTGGTATTTTATAAAACATAAGAGTAACTGTGCTGGATCAGACCAATGGTCCATCTAGTCCAGCATCTTGTTCCTCACAGTGGCCAACCAGATTCTCAAAAGCCTGCGTGCAGGGCAAAGAGTTAAAAGTCCATATTGTTGCCCCCCCCCCCCAGCACTGGCATTCAGGGGTTACTGCCTCTAAACATGGAGTCATCATGGCTAATAGCCATTGATGGATCTGGCTCCTCTGGACTTGTCTAATCCTGCTTCAGAGTCAATTAAACCACACCTCATGACAGTGACTTCCTCAAGTTAATTACTCTTTGACTGGAGTACTTCCTTTAGATAGTTCTTTCTAGTATCTAACAAATTTATCATACACTTTTTTTCTCAAAAGGCCTGAAGAGCCAAATGCATGTAGCAATACTGATTATTTCAAAAATAGTGTGAGTGGGTGGCAGCTAGCAAAATTATAATATGGGGAGGGGGAAGTATTGATGATGCAATGTAATTGTGTGTAGGCTGTAAATGAAAATCCTTTATTTCCATGGCCTTGACAGATGTGATACTGCAGCCCAGTCCAGCCATAACATGGAGAACAACTGGGGGCATCCTGGATTTCTATATCTTCCTGGGCCCAGATCCAAAGAGTGTGGTGAGCCAGTATCTGGATGTCATTGGTAGGCACTTGCAGTCTTTATGAGGTGGTAGCCCGCAACTCAGTGAAGTGCTTTCCCCCCAATGCCAGCCTTGTCAAGAACACGACCTTGGTGATCAGTTGTGGCTATCAGTGAAGATCTGTGCTTTGTCCTTAATGCTGGAGACCAGCAACATCCAGTGTTGGGTTTGAAAGCAGTTCTGCTATCAAAGCCTGTCCTCTTCCTCCGGGTTGGGCCTGCACCACTAGTATTTCTGTAGTTCGTTTAGTGCTAGAAAAGTGTTGGACAGGGCAGTTTATCTCCATGTAAGAAGTATGACCAACAGAATTCTTCTAGGAACATATTTTTGGGGGTGGAGGGTGGTAGGCTTCCTTCTTAGCTGTGCCCACCAAAGCATTGACTTTGAGAGACAGATATAGATCTATCTGATCTAATTTTAAGGATAGACTTTACATCATCATTTTAGGGTGGACTTTACAAATTGCAAATTAAATTTTGGTTGGAAAGATGCACCTCTTTAGAAAAAACATGCTGAGTGTGGAATTTTCTCTGGGTAGGGAAATTTGGGAGCTTCAGTAGCTTGTCAGGAGGGCCTTTGAAACAGCTTTTTTTTTTTTCTTCCCTCAGGGTACCCCCTCATGCCCCCATATTGGGCTCTGGGATTCCATCTCTGTCGCTGGGGATACATCTCCACTGCCGTTACCAAGGAAGTGGTCAAGAACATGACAGCAGCACAGTTTCCCCTGGTAGGTGGTTTTCCTCCAGTCTTGTCCAGAACAAAGCCTCTCTTTGATGCCTAGGAGGTGTGGGAGCCAGTGAAGCTGCTGTGCCCTTGCATAAGATGGAGACTAGCTAAATAGGGGTGGGGAATAGGAACGGGCCCTGTGCCCTCACTAATGCCACATTTTTGGGCCCAACAGGATGTACAGTGGAACGACTTGGATTATACTGATGCAAGGAGAGATTTTACCTTTGATAAGGATCGGTTCCGAGATATGCCAGACATGGTGCGTGATTTCCACCATGACGGTCGGAGGTATGTCATGATTGTGGTAAGTTAGTGAAGCCTGAGTTCTTCCTGTGCCTGTAGAGCCAACTTTACTGTAGGTCTTTTGGAATATTACATTACGAGGGCTAACCCCTTGTTGATCCCCCTACATGCATTAAAGGATGGGTCTCCTGTGTCTTTAGCAGCCATGGAGGAATGACAATCTTTTTTGAAACTGTTCCATCTACAACTGTACTTCAGAATCTGCCTTACAAGCTATCCTTAGGGTGGATTTCAAAACATTGCAGCTTTCATTGGTAGCCTTTACTGGTGGAGGTGGGAAATATTTAGAAATATGAGGCCAGAATAGGCTCATTATGCCTACACCGCAGAAAACTGATAATTCAGTGGACGGACAGAATATGATTTGCATGCAGAAGTCCCCAGTATCAAGTCCTGTAATCCCAGGAGGTCTTCGAATGGAAAAGGCCTCCTCCTCAGACCTTGAAGAGCCATTTTCAGTTGGAGAAGACCATACTGAGCTAAATGGAGCAGTGGCCTGACTCTGTATGAGACAGTTTCATATGTTTAAACAGTGGAGAAACCAAAAGTAGTCTATATGTCACGGGCTGGGGTGCTGGTCAGAGGGAGTCCAAAAACAAGCCGAGGTCGGGAGCCGGGAAGACAGTTCAAAGTCGAAAGCCAAGCCGGGGTCAGGAGCCAGGAAAACGGAGCCAAGTCCAAAATCACTAACCAGAAATGTAGTCCAAAGCCAGAGGGTCCGAAAGTCTAGGTATCTGACCTGAGCCAAAGTGGATGCGAGGCGTCATGAAGCTGACTCATTGCTTCCACAAAGAGCTCTGCCCAGAGTGTGGAGCTAAATGCTACCACCAATTAGCCAGCCATGTGAGCATCCAGGCTCCTGTTAAAACTCTGGGCTAAACGAGTGTCTTCCCTGTAGCCTGGCCTCTCGCCACCTGATTGCTAAGTCTTGATGCAGCCACTCCCTTAGACAAGTCACATGTGGAGGCAAGTCGGGAGGGCTTTCAGCTTGCAATTTCTCCCCCTCATCTGGGCCAGGTGCGAAGAATGCTGATGTGGGAGGCAGCTGCCAACTATCCTCCTCCGCTGGTTCAGAGGGATCAGCTGTGGTTTCTGCAAGATCTGGCAGTTCTGTCAACTCTCCCTCACCCACGCCCATGACACTATAAGATTAACAATAATTTGTAAGAATCAGTTGACTCTTGTTGTTGAACTTCAAGCTGTTTTAATCTTTCTGTTTTTCAACACTGTTTTTCAACAGACGAACTTCCCCGGAGTTTTACCGCTCGTTTCGACACATTCTTTCTCAACGTAACGGTTCAATTTTGCATCCTTACAATATTTGACATTGGACTCTCTCCAATTCCACATAACTTTGGTCTTCGAATAGAAAAGGCCGTTTGTAAAAGTACTTTGTCAAGAGCTCTTGAAGTTACGTGGAATTGGAGAGAGTCCGATGTCGGATATTGTAAGGATGCAAAATTGAACCATTACGTTGAAAAAGAATGTGTCGAAACAAGCGGTAAAACTCCGGGGAAGATCGTCTGTTGAAAAACAGTGTTGAAAAACAGAAAGATTAAAACAGCTTGAAGTTCAACAACAAGAGTCAACTGATTCTTACAAATTGTTGTTAATTGCATGCACTTCTTGCAGTATTTGTGTAGTCTGTATCTTAGTTATACTGCTGCCCCCCCACCTTCTTTGTCACATGACACTATAAGGGCTTGCATAGCTTAGAAGAAGAAGAAGAGATTGGATTTATACCCCGCCCTTCACTACCCAAAGGTGTCTCAGAGCGGCTTACAAACTCCTTTCCCTTCCCCTCCCCATAACAGACACCCTGTGAGGTAGGTGGAGCTGAGAGAGCTCTTGACAGAAACTGCCAGGACAGCTCTTATCAGAACTATGGCTTGCCCAAGGTCATCCAGCCAGGTGCAGGTAGAGGAGTGGGGAATCAAACCCAGTTCTCCCAGATGAGAGTCCGCACACTTGCATGCTTTCTTTTACTTTCAGGGTTACAGCTGACAAATGCTTAAATGTTCTGCCCATCTTTTCATTGTGCATTCCAAATGCAAAATAAGCTGTTTGCTATTGGCCAGCTTGCATCACAGAATGTGAGCTGGGGATATTTTGTTTGTTCGTTTACAATGATTGAATGCCAAAATCTGGATTCCTGGCATCTAATTAAAACATCCTCTGCCTGCTCTGCCCCAAGTGGCATTTGTTTCAGTAAGCTTGAAACTCTTCCAAATGGAGTAGCCTTCACTGTGCTGTTGCTCTTTGCCTTTTTATGCCCTGTCAGATCCATTTTCATCAGAATATCTCTCTCCCTCTTGCATTCCTTTTAGGATCCTGGTATCAGCAGTTCCAGCCCCCCTGGCAGTTACAAACCCTATGATGAAGGCCTGAAACAAGGTGTCTTCATCTTAAATGCAACAGGGCAGCCTCTGATGGGGAAGGTGAGTCCTGAGCACAAATTGTCCATTTTGGAAGGTAATGCTCCAGCCGGTTAGCTGAACCCATAATCCAGATTTTAATAGTGCTTGAGCTGAGTTGACCAAGAAAAGTAGAGTTTTAGATGGGTACCCATGTGTTAGTCTGCAGCAGCAAAATAAAACAGGTCCAGAAACATTTTAGATACCAATAAAGCCTATTCTAGAATAAACTTTTGAGAGTCAGAGCTTACTTCATCAGATGCATGAAGTCTACATCCATAAGCCTACTGACTTTATATTAAAGGCTGCAAAACAGAGAGGTTGGTGTGGGTGGGGAGATGTTACTAAGAGAGGCCAGTTTAAAGCAAGATGTAATCAATACACTCAGAGTGGATGAAGACCACGCCTTACTTTTGACAGGGAAAGTAGAATTGACATAAAATCTGATCATGAAATGCAGACTCCAGAGGATGGCGGAAGACAGGAGGGCCTGGTGTGATGTGGTCCATGGGGTTGCAAAGAGTCGGACTCAACTGTGCGACTGAACAACAACAGCAAAAACATTAATTCTCCTCTGTAGGGATTGCATATGCAAGATATTAGTACCTATAGGGAGTGAGTAGTGACAGGTCTTTGTTAAGATCTTGGAGGGAAGATAGTGTTAAACATCCTGATGAATTCTAGTTCAACAATTTCACATTGCATTCTCCCTTTTGAAATTTTCTTTGTAGGAGAATAGCAACTTTTAGATCAGCAACAGCAGCAGATTCAAATGGTGTTCTAGGCAGTGTTCTTGTATCACCGCCACCACCCCTCAAGCCGTGAAATGTTGTCCTTTGATTTTGGGCTCCAGCCTCAGTTTGTGGTCCCAGCCATACCCTGAAACATGCATTTTATAACTCGTTTTACTGAGAGAGAAAATACAAACATTGAGAACATCAAAAGAAAAACAATATCCAAGAACATGCATTCTGAATTTCCCAAAACAAAATTTGTTGCACCACTTCTGAATTGCTCTCTAGAAAGTAGAGAGGATCTTACTTTCTCATAGGACTGTCTGTGCTTCCTTAGTTTCTTAGCTTTCCTCTTGTCCTATCTTCCCTGAAGGGTTTCCCATAAACAAGGAGTGCTTCAAACAAAAATAACAGATACAGCCTATTAACACGCTGGCATTTCTTGAAAGCTCTGGCCCTTTATCTTTCAGGTTTGGCCCGGCCCCACTGCCTTCCCTGACTTCACCAACCCACAGGCCCAGCAGTGGTGGTATGACATGGTGAAGGATTTCCATGACCAAGTGCCCTTTGATGGCATGTGGATTGTGAGTCTCTCTCTGTTACGCGGGGAGGTGATGGTGCTGTCCGCGGAGCTGCTCTTGCAAAGAGTTAAAGCACAGAGTTCTTTTGTTCATACCAGGATGCTGACATAAAATCAAAACTCTCACATGCCACCCTACCCCTTTTCCTCTAGGACATGAATGAGCCATCCAATTTTGTGGAAGGTTCCTTGGATGGCTGTCCCAACAACAAATTTGAGAACCCCCCTTATGTACCAGGTAAGAAAGAGTAGCAGAAACATGGGGTGTTGGGGGAATGTGAAATTAATTATTCTTGTATTGGGATGAGACAATTGAGGAATTTCTGCATCGCCGCCGCCACTATTCTACCACCGAGGTGGCAAGTCATCGGCTGCCCTATAAGAACGGGGGCAAGCGGGCCCTGGCAGAAGTTTGAGACAGTGTAGCGGGAGACCACGCTACTGAGACAGCTGGCCACCAAACCTGGGGGGGGGGGTTGTCCCTATCTTGGATGATTAATATAGGTATAGCACCGTATTATTGGAAGGTTTTATTGTGATTTTAAATGTTTTATTTATTATACACTGTATTGTATTTTGCACTCGGCTTTGCCGCATGTGAGCCGCCCTGAGCCTTTGGGAGGGCGGGATATAAATCAAACTAATAGATAAATAAATAAATCTTAGGGAAATTAATTTTAAAAATGACCATCAATTCATTCTGTTTTGATCACTTCTATAGAGTTAGCTTGGCTATTTTAACACAAGTGTAGCTCCATTCCCTAGCCATTACTCTGTCTAATAAATCCAACTGAAGTAGGATGTTAGAAGAATGTTTCCTTAAAATCTTCCTAGATCCATAGGATCACTCCTCCATCTCGCTGTGGAAGTCCTGTGCCTCCAAGTATACATGTGTAGCATCACACAGGGAGCACTCAGTCACTGCTGACTCCACAGTCATCCCACAGGCTCTGAGCCTTGGAAATGTGGACCAGCATTTAGTCTCTCTGAGAACAGAGGAATTAAATGGATTGCTCCAGAACGAACTATGAACATATTTTCTAGCAGCATGGAAGACAGAATTTCTGCCGAATAACAAAGATCTGCAGTTATTGGAGCAGAAGCAATATTTCCCAAATTAGCATCAAAAGATATGAAGGGGAGAGAAACAAGCCCTGAACTCTTGTGATGGAATTTATGCAAAATGAAGCCATTTGTGATTTGTGTGCTGGTAATTTACAGCATTTTTCCGTTTTCTGTGTTCTGCCTGCGAGTAACCATATGGTTGGCATTCGTTTACTTTAACAATTTAAAATTATGTGCATGGTTGCATGATGACTGGACGCAACTTCTCCAAAAAGAGCAATTGTTGATTCGGGAGGGAGCTTGTTTGAATTTTTCCCTTTCCATCCAACAGTTCCTTCAGCAAGAGTTCATAATCTTTGAATTAACATTTTGGCAAGCAATTTTGATCCAGCTCTTTGGGGCCCAGTTATATGGGTGATGAGCAAGGAAGAATAGCCAGGTTAGGCTAGCTGAATACTCTTGTGGAGTTTGGGTGCTGAGATAGAAGATATGAAACTGGCTCCTCGGTTATAGACCGGAACCACAGAAATTTATAGAAGACTCTGAGTACAGAAGATATTGGCCAGGATCCTGCACAGTGCAAGCAGAGCCCACGCTTTGTGAACAGAGGGTTTCTCACCTGTCATCCCCCTGGCCCTGAAATTGTGCTCCTGTGGGTCAGTGCTTTCTCCAGGAGCATCAAGGGGATCAAAATAGAGGGTTCCAGTGAGAGGGAGGAAATTGGCAAAAATCGCCCCCCTCCTCTTCCACAAGCGCAAGTGCCAATTGTGAATCGAAAGGGCTCGTGGGATCCAAGCCATTTCTTTTACTGTGTCCTGAAGAGCAACTAGGGATTCCAATATCTTTGACATCCAGATTGTTAATCCTTCGCTTATCACTGGGTGCATATATAGGGACCTCCTTGTTCCCCACATTTCCACTTGCCCTTTTCATTTACAGGTGTTCTGGGAAGATCGCTGAAGACACACACAATCTGTGCTTCCAGTAAACAATATCTGTCCTCCCACTACAACCTGCACAATCTGTATGGGCTGACAGAGGCCATTGCTTCACATGAGTGAGTATGCTACAGAGCAGTGTAGACTGGGTAATTCTCCTTTAGCAACCCTGCGCAAAAGGTGGAGTGCCTCTTAGAGATGTAGAAAAGAGCAAGAGTCCAGCAGCATCTTAAAGACTAACAAATATTGTGGATAGGGTAGGAGCTTTCATGAGTCACTGCTCACTTCTTAAGATATCTGAAGAAGGCAGGAGTGAGTGACTCACGAAAGCTCCTACCCTGCCACAAATTTTGTTAGTCTTTAAGGTGTGACTGGACTCTTGCTCTTTTCTCCTGCTATGGACAGACTAAGATGGCTACCCGTCTTGATCTATCTCTTAGAGATGGGCATCGAAGAATAGCATGTTGGGGTCTTCCTGGTTTATGAGGGCTTGTCTTGGGTGCTAAGATGGAACCGTAGTGCAGTGGCTAGGCTTCTGATGGGCCTCCCCTTGAGGGAGCACATCCAGCCAGCCCTGAAAGCATTGCACTGGCTGCCGATAGCATACCGGATTCGCTTCAAGGTGCTGGTTCTTACCTTTAAAGCCCTTTATGGCCAGGGTCCGACTTACCTGAGGGACCGCCTTTCCCCATATATACCCCAGAGAGCACTATGGTCAGGGAATCAAAATCGACTGGCCCTCCCAGGCCCTAAGGACGCCAGCCTGGCTGTAACTAGGGCCAGGGCTTTTTCGGTGGCAGCTCCGTACTGGTGGAATGAGCTCTCGGGGGAGATCAGGGCCCTGAGGGACCTTTTACAGTTCCGCAGGGCCTGCAAGACAGAGCTCTTCCACCAGGCTTTCAATTAGGAGCCACCACCATCACTAGTAACAACTGTAGAGTCTGGTTCCTGGTGAATTATCGACAGCCTGTGCACACCGATTAAGATCAATGCTGGAAATGAACACCATATGGTATGCACTCATGCAGCAACGCCATAGCTATGATATTGGAATAACATCGCTAGCACTTTGATATTTGATGTTGTATTGTTTTAATGAGTTGTTTTAATGGTTTTGGTGATTTGATTGTTTTAATCTGTATTTTATTTTGTGTGAGCCGCTCTGAGCCTGCTTTGGCGGGGTAGGGCGGGGTATAAATTAGAATATAAATAAATAAAGATGGCAAGATGTGTCCTAATTGAGATTATGTTCTACAGTGCAGAACATAGTGTTCACAGTAAAATATGCAGCCTAGTATTTAGCAGGCTGATCTTTCACAAAGGCTTGGGAACTTGAAAAACTCAATCCCTTTCTAACCGCCTCTGACTTTCCTCTCTCCTGTCCTCAGTGCTTTAGTGAGAGTGCGAGGGAAACGCCCATTTGTGATTTCCCGTTCCACCTTTGCAAGCCATGGTCGCTATGCTGGCCACTGGACTGGGGATATTGCAAGCACCTGGGAACATTTATACTACACCATACCAGGTACAGATATTTGGAAAACTGACCCTGGAAGCCTCTGAGTTCTGCTTTGCCTGAGTTACTGTGATACTGTTGTATTGTCCATGAGAAGGGAATACTGCAGGCCTGAGAGGTGGGGATTTGCTAGCCAAGGAGAATTCTGCTGTAACCACCAGCATCCTCCAACATCCAATTATAGAATCGATCATGACCTGCCTTGGGACTTGCTCATCAGTGTTGCCCAGTGCCAGTTTATTCCATGTATCTTATTCTCTCTACCTCTAGCTGTGCTGCTGTTTAATCTCTATGGCGTGCCATTGGTTGGGGCTGATGTCTGTGGCTTTGTGGGCGACACTTCAGAAGAGCTGTGTGTGCGCTGGACCCAACTAGGTGCCTTCTATCCCTTCATGCGAAACCACAATGATCATGGAAACAGGGTAAGGGGATGACAGCTGGTCAGTCTTGCAGTGCACGTAGAAGGGAAGTGGCAAGGGAAGACTGCGATTCAGTAGTGCCAGAGGATTTTTATTGCTATAGCTCCTCTTGCAAAGCCTGAAGTGCAAAGGCCAGTATTCCTCCTGCGTGGTTGTAATAGAATAAAATAGTGTGTGTTTGGTAGTTTTGGCTTCATGCCATTAAAACAAGCAGTTTCAGTGCATGATGTTCTTTTCCTCTTTATTCATTGCTGAACAGGAGCTAAAGGTTAACATTTCCTCCTAACTTAAATGGATCTGTTCCCTCACACAGTTGTGCTCATAGGAAGGGGAGTGAAAAAGAACCGACATGCAGTTCTGTAGAAATTAAACCAGTGGCCAAGTTTCACATTAAGAGTGACTCTCAGGAATGAGGTTAGGGCACTTTCAGAGCAGGAAAGAAGTGCAGTTCTGAGTTGCTTGACAAGGTCAGCACAGTTGTGTTTCTGCTGCTGGATGAGAGGAAGCAGAGGTCTTTATACCCTAGTGTGTATGTGTTGTTGTTGTTGTTGTTGTTATTATTATTATCTTTACTAAAACAACCATTCAAACAGTAACAGGTAAGTTAGCTCAAGGTAAATAATACATCACCATTACAAAGGGACAGCTATCAACCGACAGATTGCAACCGTTATAAAAGAGAGGAATCATGTTTTACCACAAGTTTAGACTCTTAATTATATCAGGTATGACATCCTGATGTACCAAATATTCAAGCAAAGGAAGCCAAATAATAGCAAAATTAATAGAAAATTTACAACAGTTCACTTCATTAATCCTATCTGTAATTCTAGACATTATATAAAGTTTCCATAGCTTGGTGTGCCAGTGTTGTCTCTTTGGGCGGCCTACAGTGTTCTTCCAAGAATAAGCCACTGCGTTTTTAGCTGCTGCTAACAAGATATACGCTTAACAGTATCAGAAGACTGAACATTAACTTGCCATCTGTTCAAAAAAATGTGTTCAAACATTACACTGTACCTCATAACCAGTTATAAGCTTTCGTTGTTGCAAGACATCCTTCCAAAAAGGTTTGCAGTTTCGGGTACTCCAGCCAGCAAGGCATATAATGACCCAGATTACCACACTTCCTCCAACAAAGAGGGGAGGCTGAAGGCGTTGTCTGTGCCAGCTTTTGTGGAGTTAAATACCAACAACTGAGGATTTTAAAAGTCTGCATCAATGTTCCCTCTAAGCTCCACAGTGCTGTGAGCAGAAATACTACCTTGTGAGCAAAAAAAGGCTAGCAGCATTAAAGTTGTGAGCAAGTCTACATTTGACTATTGCGTAAATTATTTTTAGGAAGATTATTTCCATAACCTTGTTAAAATCTCAGAATAAATTCTTTTAAACTATATTTAAACTATATTTTAAGAATAATTTAAACATTATAAGGGAAAACAGAATCAAGTCAAATTTCATTACACAAAATGTCTTCTATAGGGGTAGACCAGGCCCCCAGACAACAGGTGTACCGTACCCACCAGTGCTCCCTCTAAGCTGTGGAGTCTTGTGAGCAAAAATACTACTTTGTGAGCTACTGGCATCAAAGTTGTGAGCGAGCGATTTGGCTACTGCATAAGTTAGTTTGCTCTGGAGCCATCCTGCCTGAGCTAAGACAGAAATGTGTGAGCCGGAGGCTAAAAAACTATGAGCTAGCTCACACTAACTTAGCTTAGAGGGAACACTGGTCCGCATACTAATTTCTATTATGTTAGTACTAAAGGAAAAAGACTTCCAAATCTGCTGCCATTCCTCCGCATTCAAAGTAATGTTACAGATAGTGTGCCATTTTTTCTGAGAAGAAAGTAGAATAGAGGAGCTGTGGTCCTTTAATAACTTATACAGTTTGGTTATAAGATGTTTTCTAGTATGTTTCACAGAATCATAAAGAGCTTCAGATCCCGTCAATGGATTGTTCAATAATGAAAAAAGTTTAATTTTTGCTGCCACATGAGAGACTTGAAAAAAATGAAACCAATTAATAGAAAATCCATGCTTCTGCTCAAGGATAATGTTTGTGTGTTATTATAACATAATGTATTTGTAAATCATTTATATCCCACCTTTCTTCTTCCATGGAAATCAGGATAGTTTACATGCGATTCTGAGGAGGTCTCCTATTTAGACACTGGCCAGATTCAGAACTCCTTAGCTTCAGAAAGGCTGTTGTATTTATCATGTGTCCTTCATCCATACTTTGAATACACAGCAGTAAAAACCAAAATATCCTTATTGTGCAAAGAGGAAACCTTTATTCTGTGTTAATATAAATTACCCAGTTCTATGTGTGTATAATATAATGCACACATTGTCTTTCATTTAATACCTATATTTGCCTTTTTTTGTTTCTGCTGATCATGAAGAGCTATGATGTCCACCAGGTCCACCCCCTGTCCACTGGGAATGCCTGCTAAGCCCCTGTTCTCACGTACTCCATAGTTTCTGAGATTTCATCAGATGTTGCCCATGCACTTTCAGCCACAACTGCTGGAGACATGCTGCATGACTGAAGAGGATAAATGTTGTCATATACCATACTCAGATGGTACACAACTCTGACTTGATGTTCAGCCCCATAAATTAACTACATTAGCTGGATTCTGCATACAGAGTAAATATTGATATAATAGTATCCAGTGGTATCCAGTGCTGTTCTAATTTTCCCCACTTCAGATACCTCTTGCCTGCCCACTTAACAATGTGCAGTCCAATTATTTTCACTTTCTGTGGCTTCTTATTTTTGTAGAATTTTCACAGTGGCCTTTAGGATATTGTGCCTTGAGATGGGTAGTAACTCCTCTGTGTCCTGTCCCTTCTCTGTGTGCTGTAGTGCTGTGCAAGGCCCTGGCGTGCCACTGCTGGGCCAAAAGAGGTAGAGGGGTCCTTGCAAAGAGCCACTGGCAGTTCCTGGGCCAGCACAATAAGCTGTGCTGGTAATGGTCACCAGTGCAGGGTCACAAGTCATGGCCAGTGAAATGCTCAGTGCTCAGCTAGTGGGCCTTGGGATCAGATCGGAGGTTTCTATTTAGGGGAGGGGCTGTGGTTCAGTGGAAGAGCCTTTGCTATGCATGTGGATTGCGGAAGGTCTCAGGTTCAATCCCTGACATCTCCAGTTAAAAAGAGTCAAGCAGTAGATGATACGAAAGATCTCTACCAGAGACCCTGGAGAGCCACTGCCAGTCTGAGTAGAGAATACTGATGGACCAAGGGTCTGATTCAGTATAAAACAAAGTCTCATGTGTGTTCATCCTCACTGATAATCAGTTCTATCCCACAGAATGTGATTGTGTTCCAGAAAAGGAAAGAACGTTGGAGTGATGATGACTGAAGGTTTGAGAGTAAAGAGTAGATTTCTGAATGCAATCTTGGCAGACTTGGTGGGGGTTGCCCCTTCTGGTATGAAAGCTCTGCAACACGATCCTTTGTTTGTCTGCAGCATGATGTTCCTTTCTGTCTTGCAGCCCCAGGAGCCATACATCTTCAGTCAAGGCGCCCAGAAGGCCATGAGAAAAGCCCTTCTCCTGCGCTACTCGCTGCTTCCCTACCTCTACACTCTCTTCCACAAGGCCCACTCTGCAGGGGACACTGTTGCTCGCCCTCTTTATCTGGAGTAAGTCAGCAGAGAGCTGAGATGACAGTGGCGAGTCAGGTGGGGTTTCATTGGGCTTTTAACTTGGACGTTTGGAGCAAGAGCAGCTCCAAGGTCAGGAATCTCTGTATGATCTTGGACTTCCATAGCCTTCCATTAGAGGGAGACTGAGCACCACATTTTCCATGCGATCTGCTGGCCTAGAACAAGAAAGTGAAAGGCACAGACTCAGCTTGGTAATAGTGTGCATGAAAACAATAGCTGATTCAACATAGCAGCCCTGGACTGAGGGGGGGGGGATATAATTAAAATACAAATGCAGCATTTAATTTAGAAAATGTATATGCCACTTCTCTGAAAGCTGGTAAAAAGATTAAAACTCTACATTAATATTACAACTCAATCAAAACTAGCCTCATTAGCAATATAACCATCATAACCTAACAGTCGTAAAACCAACAGTCCATCAACAGTTTATAACAACATAAAAGCAAGCCAGTTAAACATCAAAATAGGCAGGATATAGGCCATAACATCAGAGAAGAATACTAAAATGGACAGCTATAATGTGGATTAAAAGTTTGTCACTTAAATGCCTGGGCAAAAAGGAATATTGTAGCCTGACATCTAAGAGTTAGGCAGGCCTCAAAGGGGAAGGCATTTCAGTGGCAGGGTGCCACCACTGAGAAAGCCCTGTCTCTGGTTGCCATCTATCTTACCTCAGTGAGCAGGAGCACAGAGAACAGGGCTTGGGAGGATAATCTTAGCTGGAAGGCTGGACTGTAGAGGAGGAGACATTCTTTCACATGCGGCAGTTTTGCTTCTCTCACTTTTGGGAAGCAGTAGGAGCCAGGTGCATTGGATGTACATCCAGCTCTCGAAAAATGGTCCGTGTCAAAGTACTATTATTGAGCAAGCAGAAGAGCCTGTGTAATATAGCCGAGTTCTAAATTTAGATGGGTGAATGTTGTGGGCATAGATGCAAATGCATGCTCAGCCACACAACAGATTTCTGGTCCAGTTGCGATTGGTCAGTCTGATCTACCCCACAGAACTGTTGTGAGGGTAAAATGAAGGAGAAAACCAGATGTCTCATCCTGAGCTCCACAGAGGAAGGATAGGATACAAATGTGGTAAATAAGCAATTCAAAGACTCTGACATCCCTCTCAGTGTCAGCTGAAGGAAGCTGCTCTGAGATAGGAGAATGTTTTTGATGTGGTGGGGGAGGGGGGAGAGTTTCCTGACAAAAACAAAGTCTTTGAACCCAAGAGGGGGCTGGATCCAGCAGTAAGTGAGGCAGATTTTTGTCGATTTCCCCCCTACTACTACAAACTTCCACTTTCCTTCTCATGCTGTTCTAGGAGGTTCTTTGTTCCCTAGGAACAGCAGTTTCAGGAACAGTTCAGGCTACACTGCGGGGGGAGTGGAGAACAAAGTCCCATTCCATTGACAGGAATCCCTTCCATCAGCACTGGAGCTATCACTGGATCCAACCCATTGTCTGAATGAATGTCTTCTTTGTAGGTTCCCAGAAGACCCCAATACATGGGACATTGACCGGCAGCTCATGTGGGGAGCAGCACTTCTCATCACCCCTGTCCTGGAAGCAGGGAAGACAAAAGTCAGCGGCTACTTCCCTTTGGGCACTTGGTACAACACAATAGCTGTGAGTCTTGCTACCTCCTCTGGAAAAGACTGAGGTGGGGGTGCGGTCATTTGACAGAAGGGCAAAGACCGTAACTAGTGACTGTCTCCAGTGGGGACCAAAAACAGCTTGCAGCACTGTTATGTCCTCTGTTTTATCCTCACAACATTAACCCTGTGAGGTGGGTCAAACTGAGAGCGTGTGACGGACTCAAGGTCACCCAGCAAGCTTCCGCGGCAGAGAGGATTTGAACCTGGGTCTCCCCAATCCTACTCTGACACTTTAACCATTATACCACACTGGATTTTCCCTTTTCGTCTCTGACAAATACAACTTTCCACATCATGTCAGAGTTTCTGGATCGAAAACACATCCCTCTGTTAGAGGACTGTATAATTTGAATTTAAACAGGGTGCTGGTAGTGGCCTGATTGCCACTTTGTTGGCATATGGACATCCCCTCTGCGTTCGTTTTCTCCCCCGTCTTTTGGTTCCCTTTGCAAGAAGACTAGAAGCTCACTGGTACTTGAAGCTCAGCCATGTTTATGGGTCCTATAAATTCTCCCAGCCACGGCAGTGCTTGGATGCCTGTCATTTTCGTACCTGTTTTACTTCTGATGGTGCAGGGGAGAGAGAGGCCTTGAGCACTTGATTGTTTTAAAGCAACAGTGACCTGAATCATCCAGGGTTAAAACTAACATTAGTAATCTGAAGTTAACATGGATTTGAATGTAGGAAAAGACACTTAAAATTAGCAGGTGTGTGCTAACGTACATATCTATTTTTAATGGAAAACACTGGCTGAACTCTAGTAAATGGGCTTATTGCCTGTGAGCTCAAACAGTGCACTGTTCTTCCATTCCTCAACATAAGCAGAAAGGAGGGAACATTTAAGAGGTAGTGAGCCATCTAGGGGATAGGCTCCTTTGGTGACCAGCTTTGTCTGAATGTAGGGTATCTTTTACGTGTTCGTTCCGTCCACCACCCACCTCCCCGGCAAGCACATCCCATTGTGTATCTGTTTCTCCTGCATCTTTTCAGGGATCCACCATTCACAGCAAAGGGCAGTGGATTCTTTTACCAGCTCCACTTGACACAATCAATGTCCACATACGTGCAGGATACATCCTGCCGCTGCAGGTGAGTCGCCTCTACTGATTTGTCACACGCATCAACACCACTACATGCGTGCACCTATAAATGCACACTCAGAATTTTTGCTGATAGAACTGGAGGAGAGTGGTAGGTGCTTCTGCAGGATCGTCTTGGTGAAGGTATCTTGGTTGGGGGGGGGGTGTTTGTGTATCACTGAAGAGAAACCCGGACTTTGATGCTGGGTTATACCTTCTTTCTTCAGGAGCCTGCCTTAACAACCACAGAGTCCCGCACAAAGGGGATGACCCTCGTGGTGGCTCTGACACCAGAAGGGGTGGCGAGAGGTGACCTGTTCTGGGATGATGGAGAAGGACTGCTGACTTTTGAGAAGGGCGACTACACACAGATCCTCTTTCTGGCAAGAAATGTGAGTTTCTGGAAGAACCATTCTGATCCCAAGAATGGAAGACTAGTAGTAAAGAGATGTTCCTTTAGCTGTGCCTTTAAAAAAACATTTGCCTTTTTAGTTTTTGTTACCTGCCTTGAGACTCTGAGGAGGAACAACTTCTGAAAGTCAAATAAATAAGACCCATCAAATGGGAGGGATAGAGGGGGTCTGAAGAGGGTGCGCAACCAAATTCCTACTGTAGTCCTGTCCAGTGTTCCCTCTAAGCTGTGGAGTCTCATGAGCAAAAATTCTACTTTGTGAGCTCCTGGCATTAAAGCTGTGAGCGAGCGATTTGGCTCTGGAGCCATCCTTCCTGAGCTAAGACAAAAATTATGAGCTGGAGGCTAAAAAACTGTGAGCTAGCTCACACTCACTCAGCTTAGAGGGAACAGTGGTCCTGTCCAGTGTGCCCCATCTTTTCTTGAAAGAGTTGTCAAATTGGAAGGCTACCCAAGAGATAATAATTTCTCCCCACCTAGAGGGTATCTCTTGAAAGATTCGTTCACCTCTTTCCTTCAACGCTTCCAAAGAGGGAGATTCAACAACCTCCCTAGGTAGTTCGAGCAATCGATACAGTTAAGGATATTTAACTAGCATTTAATCTATGTGTATTTCTGTCATTTTTAAACCATGTCTTTTGTTCGTTGGAAACGATGGACTTTGCACTGTGTTTTATCAGACTTCACAGGAGGACCACAGAGAGTCAGAGAGACAGACAGTATCCTTCATTTCTGCTGCTCTGATGCTATCCCTTTGATGAGTAGATTGCCATTATTAGGGAATCTATCCTCCTTCTAGCTGGCAACTTCTCATCACACTTCTCCATCTTGGCACCGTGAAGGCAGGACATGATTAGGTGGCTGGAGATCTCCTGGGATTACACCTGATCTCCAGGCGACAGAGATCAGTTCCCCCTGAGACGATGGCTGCTCTGGAAGCTGGACTCTGTGGCATGATGCCCCACTGCAGTCCCTCCCCTCAAACCCTGCCCTCCTCAGTCTCCAGGTATCTCCCAAGCTGGAGCTGGCAACCCTACGCCTCCTGCATCTCTCTCCGTCCTCATGAGTTCGGCTGGGTGAGACTCCTGTCTCTGCTCTATCCCGTCTGGGATGGAGTTCCTTACCTTACCATAAAGGACTCATATTAGTTTTGCAAAGATAAAAAGGCTCTGTGTGTAACTTTATTTCCCTGCAGCACACACAGTTCAGGTAGATTCTGCTGTGACCTGTGTAGTAGAGATGGGACTATAAAGATTTCCCCCTTTTTTGATTATTCATATTTCTCTGGTTTTTATAGATTTATTCTTAAGTAATATTTTATTAGGATGTTAGAAAGGCCTGTTATATAGAAGGCTTTCCTCTTGTAGGTCTGATATTGTTAGCAGACAACATAATAGGTACAGAGTTCATGATTCTGTAGTTCTTAGGGCAAACCTTTCAATGTCTGGGTCAGATAAGACTTTAGTCTCGTATGAAGAATCCTTGCCCATTATCATTTAGGTTAGGTTAAGTAAACACTTAGTTTGACGTAGATATATGTTTCTTTATATCTGGCCAATCAGAGGATTATTACTCAAATTACCACTGTCTTTTGTAACCAATTATGCTGTTTGAATATTGTTTTCTTGGTGATGTCAATCCATGTATAAAATATCATGTATTTCCTGAATATGTTCAGAATATGCTCAAGAAGAAGAAAAAGAAGAAAGTTGTCAATTTTTGATGAGTTATTTGGTCTAATTGTTTTCCTATTAATTGAAGCATATTTCCTGAATATGCTGAGAAGAAAGTAGTCAATTTTGGATGGACTATTTGGTCCAATTGTTTTTTTGTTAATTGAAATAAAACATAGATCTTCCTCCTCATTTGACTTCATTTTTGACACGGAATCTAATATGTACAACACCTGTGCCTTGAGCGCTCTGCCAACCCAACATTCCTTCATTGTTGAGGGAGGCTTAATTTGGTTCCATCCAAACTGCCACGCTCTCCAACGGCTCATCTCCTTCCTCTGTTACAGGGCATGCTGGTTAATGAGATTGTGAGGCTCAACGGCCAAGTCGATGGGCTGTTGCTGCAGGAAGTGACTGTGCTGGGTGTTCCCAGCCCTCCTCATCATGTCCTGGCAAATGGCATTCCTGTTGCAGACTTCTCTTACCGCTTAGACTCTAAGGTAAAGTCATCTCTGGGTGCAGAGGGGGTCTCCCTCTTCTGTTTGCATTCCAAAAAGCTATCCCATGAGACCAACCTGCAGGGAGGTTATGGATTAATTCCAGTTGTTTCAGCACAGAAGCATACAGCATGTTTTGAGAAGACTAAGAAGGCAAAGTAGGGCTGAAGGATTGAGTCTAGTGATCCATCAGCGAAAGCGCTGATTGTCACAGATCTTTTTTTCCACCCCCTCCCTGTAGTGTAGTTCTTTCAGACTATGGGAAAGCATATTCCTGGGGTCATGGGACCTGCAGGGACTTACAGCTGTGCTGGTCGGGGGGCTGCAGAGGGGAGGAAAGTGATGAGATTGTCCTTCTGCCTCTTCTGTCAATGCAGCTGTACTAATGGAAGAGATGGGGGAGGGTAACATCTCCCCTTTCCTCCTCCCCACTGCAGTGGAATCAAGGGAAAGATCTGCAGGCCTCGCATTTGCGTTATTGTTGGAACCGACCCAAAGAGTCTTGCTCTCCTCCTCCTTCGTATTTGTAGGCCTTTATTGGCATATCGGCAATCACAACTGAATAATAATCCAATCAATACACTACAGAATACAAAATCCATCAAATATCAAACTTCAGACAAGAATTTCATAACGGGGGGGGGGGGGGTGTGGCGGGGGGGGGGGGGAGGTCCAGAAACCATACTGTATAGAATTTTCTTTAACTTTAAGGACTTCCACTAGAAATTTAGCAACTACAACAGTAATTTCAGGAGTCAAATCATTCAAAAGGAACTGACATTTATGATCTTTATTCAAATGGCTTTTAGAATTAATCAATTTAGAAAGCAACCTTTTCCTTGGGCACTCATAAAAAGGGCAGTCTGGCAGGAGCTCTCCTCCTCCTTCTCTCTGGTCAGGCTCAATATTCGGCCCATTATTATCTGTCTTTCCTCTGAGGAGCACAGAATAGTATACATGATTTTCCTTTCTGTTTCATCCTCACAACAGCCCTGTTAGGTAGATAAGGCTGAGACTGAATGACTGACGTTGAATCAGCTGGTGAGCTTCATGGCTGACTAGAGATCTGAACTTGTGTTTCCTAAGTCAGGTCTGACACTGTAACCATTAAAACCACACTGCCCCTCCTCCTGCTGATACTTTTCAATTTATGTAAAAATACAGATAAAGGAAACATATGCGTATTGCCATAATTCTTGATACTTGGTGTTAAAAATCTTGTGGTAATTTGTTTTTAAACATGGACATAACCAAATAAGTATTTTGGAACCATTTCTGCGTGGAGCATGCATGCTTGCTTCCTCTACTGCCTGAAACAAATGTGGTTATGTACCTAAACCAGTGATACTCAGTGGCTTTGACATGCCACCTGAGGCTCCTCTGAGCACTGTTCCCCAATGTGCCACTTGCCCCATGTTTGAGGAGTGTGGGGCAAGGCCCTTGCCTAGTGGGACATCTGACTGACAGGTAGTTTTTACCTTGAAACAACAGCCACCAGAGGAACAGGTAAACTGTGAACCTTCCTGAGGTGCAGGCCTCATGCCAATGAGGCTTTTGGTTGAGGGTAATTTTGAATGTGGCTGTGAGTGGTGGAGTGGGTACCAGTGATCTAAAAAGATGAGCAGGCTCCTGCAGCCACTTGCACCTGATCCATCTGGGCCTTGAGCAGCTGGCCTTTGGGAGCCGTGGGGGGCTCCCACCCATCTTGCATGGAGTGAGGGCCACTCCTTGCTTGGCCCTGGTTGAAGGGGGTTGACAATTATTCTGGAGCCCCAGAATCACTAAGAATGCCCCTGGTCTTCAGAACCACATGTATAGGACCCCCAAGGACAAGATGGTTCGTATAATTTGTGCCTCAGTCTCCTGGACTGTGAGCCCACCTGCATCCTCATATGCTCCAACAGGTGATACCACCTGAACTAGTCCGTCGTCCCTCATTGTGATTCCTGAGTCCTGACTGAGCAGCTGCCACTAACTGTTCCTTCTTCCTCCCTCAGATCCTTAACATCTCCCTTTCTCTGCTGATGAGGGAGCAATTTGTCATCACCTGGTCTTGACCCTAGAAGGAATGCTCATCAGTTTTGCAGAACCACAGCAAGGAATGGAAAACTAGTGATGAATGCTCATGATGTCCTGATGATTTAGCTAAGAATGCTTCCTTTAGAAAAAGAACTGTGTCTTTTGAAGAAAGAAGAGGCCCCTCAAATTTTCATTTAAGGAAGATGCTTGACCTATTGCTCTGAATAAGACTGAGCTGTTCTATCATGACACTGTTTTCTTGTGCCATTCTTGTAATGTTCTCACTTTTCCGGGGGAGAAAAATCATGGAAAAGGAAGAGGGCTGCTGTTCTGGTGTGACAAGGGCTCCCCCAATGGTACTCCCAGGTCTAAGATTAAGCCTACACAGGTGCAGAAACAGAAGGAAGTCCTCTTGACGGGCTCCGTATCAGTTGCTATGCTCCATTCCTTTAGGAATCAAGGGCCAGTCTCCCATTGGCTAGAACAATCCCAGACTGAGCTCTGAAGCATTAAGGGAAATGGAAGCAACACTGTCTTGGAACAGGAGTAGAAATGCTCAGGGAAGAACTGCAATATTTCAAAATGGTCAAATCATGCATTTCACAGCCATTTTTTTTTCTTTTCATGTAATAAGTGCAGCGGGGGCAGCTAAACGTGAGATGCTGATCGTGCCAAATATTCCTGTTTTCAGAAACAGGCTTCAGGGTGGAAGCAGGATATCTGCTGCAAGAGCAATTCTTACCAACAACATAAAGCCACCTCCTCTTAGGATAGATACAAGGTGAAAAGAGACACTTGCAGTGAGAACTTAGGGAGGGCAGGGCCTTTGAAACTTGCAATGTGTTCTCTGTACTGATCAGAAGTGGCATGTTTTTCCAATAAAGATTTTTCCTGAATGCTGCATATTTACTGTAAATGGTGTAGTAGCTACTTCATAGATGAATCTTGACTCTGCTCGTTCACTTCTTATTCATTGCATTCACCTTCCCCCTAAGAAACTGAGAGTAGGCTGAGTGTTTTCCCATCCCAGTGCCAGCCCAGTTTAAACAGCTCTAGTTTTAATTCTGAACTAGGATTAGGTACATTCAGACCATTCCTGTGTTGGCTCAACAATTATTACCAGCAGTCAAATGATCAGTGATAAAAATGCCTAAATCTGTTTTTTTAAATAATCCTTTACTGTTACCCTTTGAATTACAAATATACAAAAGAATAATCAGCAGAAAGACAGAACAAAAACCTACATGATTATGCTAGATGCAGTGATCACATTAGAAGAAGGGATAAAATAAAATAACCACTGTCATGCTAAGGTTCTATTAATTCCTAATAGATAGTAATTTAACAGGAAAGGGGGGGGTGCCACCCTTTACCTAAAGATATGGAACTGCTAAATGTGCTAGCCCAGGTTTCATGGCTACTATCAGATACAAATGATTGTGTCAGCCTCTCAGTGGGAAAATTCATAGGCGCAGTAATCAAATATAAGAGAAATAATACTGAGTAAGGTCTTTAAAAAAAAAATTGGTTCCAATTTCTGTTTAAGGTGATATCTGTATGAGCAGTACTAGACAGATAGACAGCTAGGTGGAAAGGGGGAGTGATGTGTACCTAGTGATACTGGTGGTGGTGGGGCACAGGAAACAAAAATTGTGGCCAGCGTGTAAGAGGGAAATGCAGGCCTGTCACTTCTGGGGTGTCTCTGATTGTATTTCAGAAAGCACTTCTAAACGTTAAACTATAGCTAAATGCAAATATTCTCTGCATTGCTAAAATAGGTAGAAGCTTGTGAAGCATAATATAAGGGGTCACAAGATTGAACTATTCCATAGTAACCAAAACCTGTTGCAGTGCCCTACCCTCAAGCTAGAGTTAGCCATTAGAACCAAGATTAGACCAGAGCTTTCAAAGCAGGAGACTAATCACTTTGCCCTAGACAGCCTGTCTGTATTTCTGAGGACTGAAAAAATAACTCTTCTGCTTGTCTCTGCCCCCACTGGGTTTTGTTGCCACCCTTTTTTGTTTCTATGCAATCATGGGCTTCCAGTAACTTAACTCACCTCCAGGCTGGGTGGAGCTTCAGACTGGGTTTTCAGGTATGTTGACAGGGACTTCCTTGCTTAATATTTGCGGCTATTGCTATCACAGAGTAGGGTGTATATTGATGGTGTTTGACTAGAATTGGGGAAAACTGTCTTCAAATCCCTACTTGGTCAGTCAACCTAGCCTACCTAGTGTGGTTGCTGTGAGGATAAAGTAGTAGGAGGAGAGTTACATGCCCAGGGAAATGCTGATCGCCACTTTGGGGTCAGGAAGCAAATTTTTTGCCAGGCCAGTTTGGCTGGGGATCCTGGAGGTTTCTTTGTCTTCTTCTGGCAGGGGTCACAGGGTGTATGTGTGTGGGTATTTGTGACTTTCCGGCATTGTGCAGGGGGGTTGGACTAGATGGCCCTGGAGGTCCTTTCCAACTCTATGATTCTATATATTTTGCCTTGCCTTTGGAGAAAGAATAGGATAAAAATATTTAGCACCTGAGAAATCTTACAGCCACTTCTTGCATTTTCTCCTTTTCCCACAATCTAAATTTAGACTATAAAGACTGCCCATCTCTTTTGCTCGGTTGATATTCTGTAAAACTCTATAGAGGTGGTGGTGGTAAGTGCCATCGAGTCACAGTCAGCTTGCACGGACTTTGTACAGTGTGCCGTGCAAGATACGTTCGGAGGTAAGTTTGCTGTCGCCTGCCTCTGTGGGGGAGCCCTGGACTTCCTTGGTGGTCTCCCCATCCAAGGACTGGCCAGCAAGGGCTATCCAGGTCAGGGCACCATATACCACTAAATAACTAATGCCAAAAATAAAGTCGCTATCTAAACAAAGCAAAATGTTTAAACCTGATCCTGCCCTCCACCCTTGGACATCTGCTTTGCCTGTTTTTTCTTTCCCTTACAAAAAATTATAAGGGCTGATTCTTAAGAGGAGTTTCATGCCTCCTAGGAACACACAGAGCAAATGCTGACTGGGAGAAAGAGAAGAACCCCCCCTCCAGCACCATCTGTCTCCTTTTTTCCCCATCCTGAAATTACCTCATGGTTGCACCATCCTCAGCAGGGCAAATAGTGGCTCCCCAAGGCCATTTCAGGTCAGTAAAGTGGCAACGGGGGGGGGGGGGGGGAATTTTTCCTCTTCTTGTGCGTGGTTGATCCCAATCCAAATTATGCCCATGGGCATGCGAGAAGCATGGAATTCTATAATGCATCTTTGTAACATGTGAATTGGCCTCAGTGATTGTAAAGGTTAAGATTGTCCAGATTACTGTTGCTTGGCCAATGCACAGCTAAACTGTCAATGCAAAAAGAATGAGGCAGCATGACTAAATAGTGCATGGGATGCTGCCTAAAGATATCACCTGGCTGGCCTCGGCTGGCCTTGTTACCTCTGTGACCCCCATGTCTCTGCTATTTGGTGCAATTGTAAAGATTGGAATAGCTTGTCTGGGGCTGAGAGATGAGTCAAATCAGCATACCTCACAGATGAAAGAAGGTGTAGCAGGCCAAATTCACACATGCCACAGAAAGTGCTTTTTTTAGCCTTTCTGTTAGTGTACATGTGAGAAAAAAGGCACTTCAATGTGTATGACTATCGGATTTTTAATTTGTGAAAAACATTTAAATGGTTATGAGTTTCTCAGTCTATAGATGGCCATGCAAAGAACGTTCTCTAAGAGTCACACTTCACTTTGACGGCACTTTATATTCCATGTGTGGTTTATGTTTGTACCTATTAGCCCTCGTTTTTCCAAACCCACCTGAACTAGACCCGTATGTTGTGGTAAAGGTAAAGGTTCCCTTGCTCGAAAGCCAGTCGAATCCGACTAGGGTTGCGGTGCTCATCTCCATTTCAAAGCCGAAGAGCCAGCGCTGTCCGAAGACGTTTCCGTGGTCATGTGGCCGGCATGACTAAACACCAAGGCGCACGGAACGCCTTCCCACCGAAGTGGGTATTTATCTACTTGCAATTTCTTGCTTTCGAACTGCTAGGTTGGCAGGAGCTGGAACTAGAGACAGGAGCTCACTCCATCATGTGGCACCCGGGTCTCGAACTGCTGAACAACTGACCTTCCACAGCCTGCAGTTCAGCATCTTAACCACTTGAGCCACCGCAGCTCCCTATGTTGTGGTAGGACACAACAAAGCAATCTGTCTTTTTTCTGTCCCAAACCTACTGCCAGTCAACATAACTAAGTGATCACATTGTGTTCTAGTAACCTGAGAGAAATGCCCGTCTGTTCGCTCTCTCTGCAGAGCCTGAAGTAAAAAATTAACAGCGTTTTATTATCATGGCTTAATCAGAACTTAGAACAAATTAGAAGACTAGAAGCAAAGACTGCTATTTGAGAGGGTAGGGTTATAGCTTGCCAGCCTAGCCCAAATAAGACCTGAGGGCTTGCATTGTTGCTAATAGACACTTTTCTGTTGCATAATGCACTGCAAGTTTGATTAGCATTAGGGGCTACTGATTTCTATAGCACCAAAACTTATAAGACTATAAGATCAGGCCAATGCCCCATCCAGTCCTGATTCCCTAATCTTAAATGCCTTTACTTAGGAGTGACTGCCATTGATTTAAATAGCTGGTTACTTCCTAGTAATCATGTCTAACATTCTAATTAGTTGATGTCTATTGTGCCCTTCTTGTGCCCTTCCTCCCAGAAGCTCAGATTTACAAAAATGGTTCTGTTCTCCCCCACTTTATCCTCACTGCCCTGTGGGGTAGATAAGGCTGAAAAAGAATGACTGGCTCAAAGTCACTCAATAAATTTCTTGGCAGAGTAGGTATTTGAACAGTTGTAGACGAACAGTAACCATTGGCTCCATACCAGATTAACATTTTCCACAGATAAGGACAGTTATTGATATTCAACACACTGTGAGGGAATGAATGTATCCATATTTTGTCATTCCATTCAGAGCTGGGAAACTGACTTTGGAAGACATTCACTTCCCAAAGACTGCCTGAAGGTGTATTTGAACCCAAGGCTCCTACACTTCAGCTGTGGGGCAGTATCTTGAAGGAGGTCTGAATTGCCAGGTAACTAATGATACGTTGCTGTGCTGGAACAGAGCCAGACACCTCTGTTGGGTTAATGTGTCTTTAGACCTGGCAAAGTTCCCAGGAGGAAGAACTACTGTTGGGTACATTAAAATCTCCCTGGTGCAGAGAGAGAGAGAGAGAGAGCTGGCCCTCCTGAAAAACTTGTTTAGCTGCACTCTTCAGAAATCACAGTCTCCTTCCAAGACATGCAGCATCAATATCCACTCAACATTCACTGCTGTTGATCAACAGGGACGGGTAAGACAAGCAAGCGGGAAGTCTTCTTTTGCTTTCAGGCTTTTGCCTGGTTTCTCTTCAGATCACATAAATCTTTTGCTCAAGGCAGCAGATTGGTCTGAAGGGGGGGGGGGCTGCTATTATTTTAGTAAGAGAAATCTTAGGTCTCCATCATTTTGTCCAGGATAAAGGAGCTCAGGGTGTTGGGGGTGAAGCAAGGTCAGAAATTGATGTTTTTATTTTTTTCTCACCAAGGTTCCTGATCTCACAGTTAGGGAATCCTGGAGTTCTAGTCTCCAACCTTTTCTGCAAATTTAACCTCCACTTTGTGTCTTTTTTTCTTTGTTTTATTTCAAACTTTTTCATAGAAACATTACTTGAGTCTTTTTAAATCCAGTCTTCAGTCTTCATTCCTACCTGCAACCAACAAAGTATGTGCAATTGCATTTGTTCCCAATTATTCCTTGTTAACTGTTTATCTCTTCTCTCCGCCTTCCACACTTCAATTTGATTATGAATTTCAAGCTCCTTGG